AGTATGATGGTTAAGTGTTAAGACAAAGTATGATGATTAAGTGTTAAGACAAAGTATGATGATTAAGTGTTAAGACAAAGTATGATGGTTAAGTGTTAAGACAAAGTATGATGATTAAGTGTTAAGACAAAGTATGATGGTTAAGTGTTAAGACGTACTTCGTGGCGCATAAACCAAACCTCTTAGACTTAGACTGGTGTCAGCAGTGGAAATTAAGCTATTGCCTGGCAGTCTTGGGGGTTATGGTTTGGATCCAGCGACCATCACCTGTGAAACCGTACAATCATCCATGGATTATTATTATTAAACATATTTTTTGTCAAAAAGACAAAGGGATTGGGCACAAGTGCAGCACTTATTACCGCCTTCTCTCTTAATCGCCTTCTCTTTGGATCCGTCCGTAAAACTGTAAGATATTCTTGACGTGTGTCTGACCTTCGAAATGAAAGATAGTAAGGCCTACTTCCACTCGCAAGAGGGAATGGAAACAGAATTTTTGGTTTAACTTTATTTGAATGCAGTTTAGCGACCAAAATATTGCAGAGATAATTTATTCTGATGAAGTATTGTTTTAGGTATTGTTCAGCTTCAAAGTACTGGAAACAAATTAACAAATTGAAGTGAGAATACAAAGGCCCATCGAGACATTTACACTTAAATCCTCCTTCCACTTCCCCTCGCGGGTTTGCATGAACCAGGATCGACATTTTTGAAGATGTATCATTATATCTCCGCGGCATGAAACAGCATTCACTCACCCTTCATATCAATTTAACCTTCATGGGGCTTTTTAACGTTGCGTCCGTTAGTCATTAAAAAGGAAGTCGGGCAGATTCCATAATTGTCTTTTTATGGTCTCTGGCTTGTGAGCACTACCCGCGCTCGTAGGTTTCACCACAGCCGTAGGAAACGTCCACAATCTGCATCACTTCCGGCCTTCCTCTACGTCAAGATGACATGCGTCATATAAATGGAATACTGTACAAAACTCAACACACTAAACCACCGAACGAAAATCAGTCCCAAAGAAGGACCTGTCGTCATCACAGTCGTTATCACGGAAGTTTTTAAGCCTTCACATCAAGTTGTCTATACCACAACACGGAGTCTTTCTGTCTTCCACGATGATCGAAGACAATCACTCTTCAGTCGTACTGGAAGGGGGAGATAATCCACCTTCCTCAATGAGGCTACTGAAATAAGGGAGCGACTGATGACCACGACACAAGAATGACGTAGGGAACACGGAAGACTGTGGCGTTGACGTCCTTATCCTCCCGGCGGGACATGGGGTAACTGATCACAGATTCAAGATTCACAGATCAGAAAGAGGTGAAGTGAAATTGGGTTTAACGTCGCGACCAAGATTATTGCACTTATATAGCGACGTGCATGCACGTGTATGTGTGTGTGTGGCTGCTTGTACTAGTCCGGACTGATGCCGATTTATAGTGCTAGCTCACTGAGATACCATGCCCAGTTTAACATGAATACCCCACTCAGACACAGTATACTGACTCCGAGCCGACCAGTCCTTGTTTTAGCCCCTTAATGCCGAGCGCCAGACAGGGTAACAACAAGTGCAATCTTTTAACGTCTTTTTGTAAGACGCGGCCCGGGATCGAACCCTGGACCTTCCGCTCTCCGGGCGGACGCTCTACCACAAGACCACGGAGGCGGTCTAGATCAGAAAGAACCCAGCCTAAAGCAGATATCCACATGTGAGACTGCCAACCCCCTTTTTTGTCCGCATGATTCGGGTGTCTATTTAGAGAGTATTCGAGAGTATACTCAGCAGTGTGGTACGCGGGATGCAAATATAAACTTATTTAATATAAAGATTCAACATTTAAAAATAATGATAATGGTGTAGGTAAAGCTTTCCTTCATTTTATTTTTTTCAATATTTTTTTCTGTAATATAACTTGAGACTGCACCCTTTCCTTAATGCTTTTGAGATTTGTGTGAAGTATATTCGGGATTCAGGGGTATGCAACGATACTCCAGATGAAAAATTTGTATTGTATTCGGGATTCAGGGGAGAGTTGGGTTAGCATGCTCACATGTGTATCCTATATCACCTGACCAGCATGTTAGCCACCATCTGCTCTTCCAAAATTCTCTCTTCTGGCCTAACTTTCCAAATGGCCTCAGTGACAAAATTGTGTCTGATGTAAATCCTTATTTTGAGTTGTATCGCATGTTTCTGTGTTTTCAGGTGAAGAATTGAGTTGCCTTTGCACGAGTTTGTTAATGATGCCACTGGCGGGACAGGATACGCTCACCTTCGTACGAACACCTGGTATCATCACCATTTGATAGTGATTCAAAACCATAGTGATAGCCGGAATTGTACGATGTACTGTGTCATTAGCTGAGATGTCTTATGATTACAGACAGTTGTAGAAACTAACAACCAAGGAAATTGTGAGTAATCTGTCTTGGGTGAATACTTTGGGTAAGTCAAGCCTTCCGAGTTTAAACATTAATACTATACACATTGTCAAAGAAAAAGGTTGGGCACAGCCCTATTTCTGAACCATGACAAATGGCAAAAGTCATGGCATGGGATGACTGACCACAGGAGCTGGGCGATACCAATGTCATCGGATAGAACAAACATTTGACGACAAATAAAGAAGATATTGGTGAGTTGTGATTGAAATTTACCGACAAAAACATCATGGTAACACAGGTACTGTTTTTTACCTCAGACAATACCTAAAAAAAGTATGGAGCTCCAGGATTAAGTAAACGAGTTACGTTTGATGTTTCATGTGAAAATGTTCCTTAAAGTCTCTACTTGACATGACACGTAAACAGATCAGCAGTGGGTATAACCCCCACGTGCCCGGATGATGCATTCCGCCCTACGTCTCATGCCTCCAGTCAGACGTTGGATCTGTTGTCGGGTCAACAACAACCACTCTTGGTGCAATGCTGCTTCCAATTGACGTAAATCTTGTACAGGAGGATCTCGTGCCTGTATGCGCCGCCCCAGAATATCTCAAACATGTTCAAGGGGGTTCAAATCTGGGATCATTGCTGGCCAGGGTAGAGTCGTTATTGCATTGGCCCTCATGTAATCCATGACTGCATGTGAACGATGAGGCCTGGCATTGTCATCCATGTACAGATGTCGAGTAGCAAGAGGGTGGTTGTCAAAATGAGGAACGACGACTGGCCTCAAAACGTCCCGGATGTACTGAGCCCCTGTTTAGTTGCCCCTTATGGTGACCAAATGCAACCTGCAATCATGAGAGATACACCCCCAAACCACTACCGAGTCCCCGCCCTATGCAACAGTCGGTTTATTTTTCCTGGGGTTGTAGACCGTGTTCCGGTGCATCCAAACTCTCGTTCTTCCACCAGTGACGTGGAGCAGAAGGCGACTTTCGTCTGACCAGTGGATCCGTTTCCAAGTTCTCAGATTCCAGTTCTGTCGCGCAATACACCATGCTATACGAGCAGCTTTGTGGTGATCACTCAACAAGGGACGCTTTATCACTCGTCTAGCCCTCGGTCCTGCTGCTTTCTGGTGCTGAAACGACGACGATTGGGCAACCACAGCCGTTTCAGACGAGTACTTGTTAAAAAGGGTTCTCGGGGTATGAGACGGAGAAGGTCCCTGTGTCTTCGCGATGTGTCGTCACAGGAGATCTTCCGGATCTGGGACGGCCCTGTACATCACCGGTCTGAGCATATTTCTCGACTAAACGGCTTACGACAGTGTGAGGATACCCCAAATTCCGACCAGTGGTATTCCTGCGTTATGCATGCCGATTATTTGCCATCTTGTGGCGTTTGATAATCGCCTTCGTGCCATGGTCACACAATGTCATGGAATAACTGTTTAAAACCGAGCTTAAGAAAGCAATTTTAACGTTTGGCATACCATGCATGGCACGTGAGCTTTCGTCACGCATGCCTGATTACATCATCCCAAGAAAACATATTTCTTCCCGTAATTATATCTTTCATGCCTGTTACAAATATTAGGACCAAACAATAATGTAATATATTAGGGTGTGCTTAACTTTTTTTTGTGTGTATATTTTCCTAGGGCAGCAGAATGTTGCTTTCCGAAAGATTGTTGGAAGGATTTCACATAAGATATTCTGAGGTCATACAGCTAAGGGCCGTTTCGCAAACAGTCTATTGATAAATTAAGCTCTGACCTAGAGTCCACCACTAACATGATCATGGGACAAACCAAATTTGGGATTGAAACTATCATCATCGGATCCTGACACAGCCAAGGACTGCAACTAAGCACAGCCTTATATCATGCTTTACATTCTTTAGCTGCCATGCACAAGAGCAGATATACACTTGAGCATTAATTAAGCACCAATTAAGCACCATCCACTTCATCGGATATGTGCTACATTAAAAAAAGTCTGGTGGGATTCATTGTTGGAAGAATGACACAAGAGTAGTAAATTGACAAACAGAATACCTGGCACTACCATCACACAAAAAAACTGAAGCTGGCACCAGCAGTTGGTACCAATTTAATATTGGCGTTATGCGAAAAAGTGTAAAAGCTCATTTCAACAACACTGAAAGTAACATCACCCAGGCCAGGCCAGACCATGACTTGTGACTAACATTATGCATTAAATTATTATTATTTTCTACCTCCGACTCGGTGTCTGGAGTATCCTCCCTGCTCACGGATGACATTTGCGAGGCATCTCCTTATCTGCTGATCAGACGTCTGATTTTCCACATTGAGATGCTACGCCATTCCTGGTGCAATGCCTGGGTCAGGTCATTCAGGTTTTGAGCTGGAGGGTCTCTTGCTCTCACTTGGCAGCCAAGGTAATCCCAAAGGTGTCCAATTGGGTTGACACAAGGGTTTGTCATTATTTTTTAGAATTGGATTTTGAATCGGGTGATGCTTTAGCTCATGTGTATATGATGTGTGAACTGTGATATACATCTGTCCGTGGACTGTCTGGTCACATCTACTCCAGGACATAACAACAACACAAACACGAGTTCTATTATTTATTTTATATACAGTGTATATGGTATATATTTATTTATACAAAGAAAATAGCTGACTTCAACGTGAGTCTTGTATGTACATTACAGATCTCCACACGCAGTCAGTGGACGGCTCACACTGGGATGAAGATGACTGATGATGGGAGATCGTGACTACCTGGGCACTCCAGCTAAACATTGCTGAGTTGTAATGGACTTCATAAAAGCAAACAAAATAGAGTAACACTGAGTTTTGTCAAGACTTCAACTGGCATGCTGTACAGAATTTGAATGACATTACTGAATTATCAAGTAGTCCTTTAGGTACAAAAAATAGACGAAATTAGACAATGTACATAAAAAAACTATCTCATTTTAATTTGTATTTACTTTTAATAAAGTAAATAAGGTATAGCTTTTGATAACTACTATGAGGTGCCAATCCCCCACCCCCACCCCCACCCCTCCCTTGGCATACTTCTTAATATGTCTTGGCATCCAATATAAGAACTATTGAGTCATATCAGTGTACACAGCTGTTATGAATAAATTAGAATTGGATTTCACATAGAATGCATGAGCACGAATGCTAATAAGCTAAGGGCTAAATTGTTTATTGATTTGTCATTTTGCAAGAAAAAAAAAGAAGATAAATGTATTTCAACAATGAAATATTGGCATCCATGTACCAGATAAACATGTAATGACTTTCAGCGTACTGCACTGAAGCGTCCGGAATACCAATTAACAGGAGGAACCACTGGCGTACCAAAGTCACTGTGAGTTTGGCACCCTCTACTATCGAAATATCAGAAATGTCGCTTCCATAAAGAAAATAAATCATGTAATATACTCTGCAAAAAAAAACCTGCAAAAGTAGAAAAAAAGGAAAATATCTGAAAGAGTGTTGCCGACATCGATACAAAATTCATACCACAAATGTATTGGTCATTTCTGCATGGATTGGGATTGATTTGAGTGGAAAGAATGAGGTACTGCAAAAATGTGGTGAAAAGATGGAATAATCACCATGTCAGAGCCTGGTGCCAAAACACACTAACATGACATGCATGTGCAACATCTCTTGTTGGGCTATAAAAACGTTGGGTTTTCAATTGCATGCCATGACAGTCTTACAGCAACTGAACAGCGAAAACATGCCATGACTGACGGAAACCCAACGCAACATCGCCATCGCCTGACTGCAAACAGGAAAATCATCTTCAGCTGTAGGCAGGTTTTTCCACGTAGCAACAAGCACCATTCGTGACTGTGGAACCGTTATCAGACACACGGAACAACACGTGACAACATGTAAAATCACTTTTGAGGGTCTTTTTGCAGAGTATAATATGACCTTCAATTGACATTCCAGTTTCTAAATGAACTAAAACAGCAGTGAGACAGCGACAAGGATTCCATGACTTCAAGTCTTCCCATGCATGACTAAAACATATGTGTAAAATATCTAGTATATAAGATATAAAACTTCAAAATGCTCACGACTAAAACAAGCACATGACAGACTCAACATGGACTGTATGTTCAACAGTGGAAACAAACAGATATCACAGACATACTCATAACTTAAGAAGTAAATATACAACACACTACCTGTGCTACTCCAGGGAGACACAGGAAACAATGGGAAACAGGCATGTGGGCAACAGGGGAAACACCATGCGAAAGTTAATGTAAATATACGACTCAACTTTTGTTTGGGATATGAGTTTCCTGGTCGGGATGGAAATCAAGTGACTTCTTGTTCAGAGACAAAAGTTGTTTATAAGGCCAGATTCAAATTATGTTCTACGGACCCACCTGTTATTTCATTTTCCAAACAAACATTTTTTGTTATCAATATCATATGTACTATTAGTTAAACAAGTCTTTGATAGGCAATAAGAAAAGTTAAACACATGCATGACTTGTGAATTGTGCTCATGGCTCCCAAATATATTCAGTCAAAGGTTTCTTAGAATTGTGAGTGAGGGAGTTTGGTTTAAAGCCGCTTTTAACAGTATTCCAGTTATATCGCGGCGTGTCAGCTTAATGTGGGAGGAAAGCCCGAAGTGATGCAGGTCTCAGACATCTACCACTTCGGTGAAACCCACGAGCACGGGTATGGTGCTGACAAACCTAGAAACATAATCGGGGCAAACCGGGATTCGAACCCACAATCATAGGTTTCTGGCATGCCCAAGGGACGCAACTCTGCACAGCGAACCGCGGCGCCTTAGACGACTGGGCCACCCGTGCCCCCCCTTAGAATTGTGAAGCCTTTGCTGGAGCGAGCTGGAGTTATCAGAGTCAAAGTGTCAATGTCAATGTAAATATTTAGATATAATTTTACTTGACACAACTATATCCTGAATAAGGAAGATAATTGAAGGATGTCAACTTCTTTATCATGAATAACACTGCGTTTCGGAGTTTATACTTAATCCTTCATCAGCTTTTCACCTGATGGAGTAAGTATATACTCTGAAAAGTTGTGTTCTTCATCATAAAGAAGTTGACATCCATCAATTATCTTCCTTATGTGTATCACTTCTCAATGTCATTCAAAGACTTTATATCCTGAATGTTTTACATCATAGACTGAAACATGTTAAGAAGGTAAACATAACAGAAAAAGTAAGTCACTTGGCGCTTTGTGCTGGAACAATAACTGATTGATGTGTTGCATCAAAAATGAGTCAGATTTCCATGAAATTAGGAGCTCTTATAACAGTACCAAAAACCTTGGAATCCCTATCAAAAAGTGAGTGGTATATGTGGCTGTGTGTGCTACACTTCTTACAACCATTGACAAATACACATGCAGTGGGACACACACTCTGTATTTGAAAAAGTGAGATATTTTGCAATTAACAAAGTGAGACATTTTGAGACTCATGTCACATGACAAAGTGAGATATTTTGAGACTCCCGTCACAGGACGACACATATACACATATTACTTCATAAACCGATTAAAAATGCTCCTTGCTTCAGTTGAAAGTGAGATGTTCTACAATATTAATAAATTCCTTGTACGAAACGAGGTCATGAAGCGAAAGTTGTCGAAAGGAAGACAGTTTGGTTTCAGAGGACTTGACGAATAAAAACATTTAATGTTCACCAACTTGGAGGTAGAGAGCAGACATGACATCAATTCTGTGCCCCAAGTACTAATCAATATCAACAAGTACCACAGAGTTAACATGATTTGCGAAACAACAGTCAAATCCCCTTGCACCTCTTCTTCCATTTCAGATTGAGAAAAATTTCAGAGAAGGAGTACGTGTTCTAAGTTACATGGTTCTCAACAATATATATTTCCACACATTAAAAACACAACTATTCTTTTACTATATAATCGATATAGTAGTATTTAAGTGGTTCTCAATTCTGAGCAAATAATTTGTTGAGTCAATTCAATTGGCATTTGCTAATGCATCAACCATCATGATACGACAGCATCTGTGTGACCGCTCTCCAGTACCGGTATTTAACATTTGAAAGAAGACATGATGATGAATGTTTAACACTTTGTAACGGGCATTGAATTTCAGTAGTGATTCACTGATTCACTTGATTCATATACAAGTATATATATATATATATGTATCATTTACAGTTTTTTTAATTAAGGGGAGTCCTGGAGAGCTAGAGTTTTGCTCTGATTGTGTTTGCATCTGGGGAGCCCCTAAACGTTCAACTTATAACATTAGGGTTACAACAAGTACCCTTTGACTTTCAGGTTCACTACAATAGTTATGGCATCATATTTCGCGATATCGATGCTGTAACAACACAAATATGTGAATATTGATAATAATTTAAGAATACATTTCCATTTATTAAGATTACCATGGTTCAGATGGACATTGAGAAGAAGGAAAATTCAATTTTAACCATTAATGTATCAGACAGTTCATTTTTAGCATTAAAATGATTAATTGCAGGACTACATGGATACTTTATATCTATACACATATAATTATTCATCAAATATATTGTGACACTTTGAGTCGATAAATTGATTGTAAAATTTCCAGTCAATGACACCCCTAAATTTCAACACTGATCTACATCAGACAAATATCTCATTTTCTTAAATTATGAACAGAGTATAATGAAGTTGTTTTAACAAAATATCTATTTTTTTCAATTTTAAAGATATAACTATTAATAGTAATCCTTCCAGCAAAAATCCACTTTCAACTCAGCAAATAACCCATACAGACTGCAGAGAGCTATAAATGTAGAAAATATTCCAATATGGGCGGTCCACCTTGTGTCCCTGCAGGGTGAGAGGTGGTACGGCATCAAGGCACTATTGATCGTATGGGAGATGTGGGCATTGAGATAGCACTGTCTCCGAACACATTAGCGTAAGAGTTTTTCAGGAACTGTACATAGTTCTGCATACTCCTGTTGGTGCTGTGAGACTGTTCCAGCCGATCCTTCAGGTCGTACATCCGTGAGTTGAACTTACGCTCGTTCTGCAAAGAAGAAGACATTGACACTGTTATCTGCAGTCACTTCTTGCAAGTACTTTCGATGAGTACGCATCCACCATTTGATGATCTGCCTGGCTTGTACATCTCTGTTAGCAATATCTCACAAACACCAGTACCCATGGCAACAGCTTGCTAAGGGAGAATACTTTACAAGAACTATAGCAGCGTGCAATTAGTGTTTCAGTTTAAGTGAGTGTGCTATAACTTCACTTAGAGCAGTATTTTAGTTATATCACGGCATGTCAGCTTAATTTGGGCGGAAAGCCCGAAGTTACCCAGGTGAAAGACGTTTACCACTATGGTGAAACTTATGAACACAGGAGTGGTGCTGACAGACCTAGAAACAGGTCAAATCTGTGACTTAAACCCTTGATCAAAGCTTTCTGGCATGCCTAAGGGACACTACGCTACACAGCCTAGTGCCATGCCTAAATGACTGAAACACTCGTACCCCTTTCAGTTTAGTAAGGAGTGAGTGTGTGAGTGATTTGAACAGTTTCTCAGTTATATCACAGTGAGGCAACTTAGGTAGGATAATGCCCAGAGTGATGCAGGTCTTGGACTTTATCAACAAGCTACTGACCCTAGCACCATGTTTCCAATTTCCATGTTCTTAACTACAGAAGAAAATAGTCGTATCTTGTTTGCTTGCTAACATTGCACTCAGCAATATTCCAGCAATATGACGGTGGTCTGTAAATAATCATGTCTGGACTAGACAATCCAGTGATTAACATCATGAGCATTCATCTGCACAATTGTGATACGATGACATGCATCAACAAAGTCAGTGAGCCTGACCAACCGATCCGTTAGTCACCTCTTACGACAAGCATAGACGCCTGTAACGGCATGCTTTGGTTGCTGAAGACATGGATGTTTTAAAAGTAGTGTGAGGGAGACATCACTGTCATCCATGACACAAATCTTACAAAGATGAATGAAGAAACTCACCTCCTCTTTCTCTCGTTTCACTCTGGCGATCTCTGCTCTCAGCTGACTGAGCTGAGACTCCAGGTCCGCGATGCGACTCTGGTACGTCCGCTCCTACAACACAGACCCCTCACTTACCAACAAACACGTAGCTGATTCCACAGTGCCTCATAATCACCCCTCACATTAGCTTGGAGTGAAAACTAATTCCAAGCTTGTTTTATTACTTTGACACATTGAGATTTCATATTTTCTGCCTGTATTGTATTCTACCCTTTTATTTTTTGTATTCAACGAAAAAATGTACAAATGAAAATATTGTTTGTGTTTCATTGAAAATTTGTTGTTTTTAATAGTTTTCCATCTCATTAAAATCAGATCTTAGTTCTCGCTATCACTGAACAAAGATCTGAGGACATCCCATTACGGGTCACATCAGAACGACCTTTCATCCGACCAATCAAAGCATCACTTACCAGATCATGAAAGTGACAGTCGGAATTTGTTTTTTAATCATGCAACCTCGAAAACGTTAACACGGTGTATTCAGAACAACAATTACGGCCCGTACGACTGATTCCGTCAAAATTATCGTCTGTCTCTCACTTCCCTGGGATAAACATTTGTACGGAGGAGGCGTTGCACAGTACGTGGGAAGCACTGCCGTACAATCTCAACCATGTATTAGACCTTCCGGGATATTCGTTTGCTCAGTTTTCAAAATTTTAATCGAGAACTGTGTCAACATATTTTGCAAGCGTAGTCTGAAATGGAAGTCACCAGGTTGAAACGAGTGCCGTAAAGTGCGAGAAAGCTGTTTTCTAATTGGCTGATGTCGACTTCTTGTTATTGTTTCAGTGGTCGGTCAAAGTTCGTGAAAGGTCGCTCTGATGTGACCCCTAATGGGATGTCCTCAAATCTTTGTTTAGCAGCAGCGAGAACTTAGATCTGATCTTAATGAGATTGAATAACTTTATATTTCTAATTTGACAGCAACGTATATTAAAAAAGTTTAAACCCCATAAAAAATCACAACAATTTCCTGTTTGCATCTTGAGGACAGCCTGTTCCATAAGAAATCAATAAGGCCCAAGCAGAAACACAAAGTGCTGTTCGTGCAAACACTGCCAGTATCAACAAATCATCTACAATGAAGTGTTTTATCGTTGTTTTAAGGATGTCTGTTATAAGGTATGCTTTTGCGTTTACGGCACATCTTGAACTGCTGTATATATCACGAGTGCTTTGAAGACAAATATTTAGGTCAGTCAAAATGAAGCGATGAAGTCAAGCATCAGACCAAAAGTCAAATCGTTAAATATACGGCATAATATACCATAGAAAAGGTGATTTATGTCCCATTTACAAAGGTCATTGCTCACGGTAAAGTAAAGTTGAGCAAAAACGTTGTATTGGATAAATTATACTTTTTTGTAAAACTGTTAACATGGTTAAGATAGTGAGTGACTTATCATGCTAAACAACACCCTTCTTTCTTTATTGGACATTAAAATTAGATACATAACATTTTAGAAAAGCATATCTTGAAAAAAGTTAAATAGTCTTAGTATGGACCAAAAGACATCGTCAAATGCGATGAAAGGCAACATTTTCTCACACATCATTGGTGATAATTTCGAGGTAAGGTTTATATTTTCAGCCTGATCTCAGCCCAATCCAATTTCTTGATAACGGCTACTGACCTTGGAAGACATGCGGTCCCTGGCCTGGTCCTGGTGGCGCCGGATGTCCGTCAGAGCATTCTCCAACTGACGGGTCAAGCTGCCATTCTCTCGGGTCTTCTCCTCCAGGCGGAGCTGAATACAGAAATACCAGTCACTTTGTCTGTTTGTTGATTTAGTTGGTTGTTTAAAGCCTCACTCAACAATTTTCCAGCTATATGATTGCTTTCTGTAAATAATCAAGTCTGGACCAGACAATCCAATGATCGGCATCATGAGGATCAATCAAATCAACTTGGATTCAATGACATGCATCAACCAAGTCAGTGAGCCTGACCACCCGATCCTGTAATCACCACTTACGACAAGCATGGGTTGCTGAAGACGAATTCTAATCTTGTCTTCACAGGGGTAATACCAGTTAGGTCATAACAATCACTTAAGCAATCCTTGCTATGGGGTGGTACCACTCAGAGACACACGATCACAGAAGTAACAATATAATTAATTCTAATCAGACAGTGCAATACCTTTAGGCTTGTAAATGGTGCGACTAGAATGGAATAAGAACTACAGCTATACAACACGTTACTATGACCAGACTGAGTTCTACATATGAGATACCTACGTTGTTTTGATGAATGGACTCCTCCCTCTTGGCAATGGTTGTAATCAGCTCTCGATTCTGATCCTCAACCTCTTTCAGCTTTCTGTAAATCAGGCAGGAATATGATAATGCATAATTATATCTAATCCAAACACATGCAAATCAGCATTAGTGAGACCATGTTTTCAACCACATTGATTAAGCAGTTTTAGAACAGACAAGGGTGCTGTTGCACAAAGCGATCTTAACACTAAGGTGATCGTAACCATACCTTAACACAGACTTACGACAGTCGTAGCGCTAAATTTGTTTTGCACAACAACACCCATGCCAAGATATTAGCCAGATTGACCTTTGAGTCAAAGTGAGCTTAAAATCTAATGCAAGAACAAAATTCTGGCCATCCAGCACAAACTTTAAAAAAATGAAACTGTGTTGATACAAAAACCACCTTGTCATCATCTAACCATGTTTGTTATCGGCAAAACGACAAAGGTTGAAGACCAAAATCGTGAAAAAGTTACACAGAAGGGGAGGGAGCGTGCAATATTGAGAAAATGAGACAGTACTTTTTTTCAAACAGATTTTTTCTATATATTTGAACATTATTTAGGGACTGGTCCAGCCCCTCCCTAGTAAATGACCAGTCCCTTGGTAGCTCTCAATTTCATAACAAGATGATGTTGATGTTTGTTGTTTCACGCCACATTCCAGCTATATGACGGCGGTCTGTAAATAATCGACTCTGGACCAGATTGACATCATGGGCATCGATCTACGCAATTCGGATACAATGACATGTGTCAACCAAGTCAGTGAGCCTGACCACCCGATCCCGTTAGTCGCCTCTTACAACAAGCATAGTCGCCTCTTACAGCAAGCATGGGTTGCTGAAGACCTATTCTACCCCGGATCTTCACGGGTCTTCATTACAAGAAGGTACATTGATCACCTTCAGTGTTCCATGGTCCACAATATTAATAACCATTACCAAATCCTGCCAAATTATTTGAGGTCTGCTATTGGTTGCAGCAAGAGTGACCTCCCTTGGTACTCACTTGTCCATCAATTCCACCCTGCTTGCTAGAGTCCGATTCTCGTCCTGCCCCCCGTGCATCTTGCCTCTTATCTGATCCATTGTGTCCGTTAGTTGCTCCACCTGGTGGGGCATAACAGAACTATTCAAGACGGGCATATTCATTTTTACAATGTCACTGTGCAGTTGGGCTGACAAAGATTTTACTCCCTTTACCCAAAGCATACATCTAATTGTCAGACGTAGTTTCAGAAACACTCGATCCATTTAGTCGCTTCTTAGGTCGGATTCTATTGAGGGAGTCATTGTTATTAAAATACTGTTAAATATTTTTAAAGCTTGTACATTTTATCTTCATTCTTAAGGAGGCTGTAAATAATATAACTCAAGTAAGAAATGAAAACTTTATGTATATTGTTAGCGACACTAAATGAGTTGGGTTTTTTTACATTGTACTTATTTCTAGTTGGCGGAATAAAATCCCCACTGCTTTTAATTATTTTATTTTTTTCACATTTCATTTTTGGGGAATCAGCGGGTTCGTAAACCACTTAGATTTAAACAAAGTCTAGCCTAATGAACTATCATTATGTCAATGACTGAACTTCACTGAAGTGACTGGTAGCACTGCCCGCCCCAATGAAGGCCATAGCCCTGTTCTGATATATTCTGAAACAAACAACAATACCTTGGCAGTGAGTTCTGCAATCAGCTTGGTGTTGTCAGTGTTTTTGCGCTCATATGCCAGCAGCTGATCTGTGGCGTCCTGCAGCTTGAACTCTGTCGTGCGTAGCAGCTCCGGCAACGGTTCCAACTCCTGCAGACGCTGATTCAGACGAAGCTTAACCTGGAGGCAATCATTTACTCTATCATCAAACCTGCTGTCAAGTCTGCCTGCTGTCAAGTCTACCATGTCATGTACAAACTGAGGCCACAAACACATTTTTACTTTTATGTTTCACAGATTTATTCTAGCTTTTGCACACAAAGTCAGTTGAAATAAAATGGAATTTATATATTACATTTTATATTGTCCAAGAGGGTCTATGTTACCATGGTTACTAGACATAATAATAGAAATAGATATTCTTATGATTAATTTTTTTCTTTTCCAGCTGCTTTTCAGTGCGGGCTCGTGAAACGTAAAATAAAAAATGTGTGGCCTGATTAGTGATTGCTCAGCAGTTGTACTGACAAATTTAAAATGACAAAACAGTCATTAGCTGTCTAAACAGTACCATAAAAACCAAGCACATCGGACTTGTTAGTGCTGGAAAGATCCACTGCCCAACAACTGCCTACAGGAACAAATGTCATATTTGGGATTTTTTTCCTACACAGAACAATAAGCAGAGACCCTTTAAGTCTAATCTTTACCATGGTTACAGTGAGTGAGTTTGGTTCAATTCCGATTTCAACAGTATTCCAGTTATATCACGGAGTATCAGCTTAATGTGGGAGATCTTAGACATTTACCACTTGGATGGAATCCATGAACATGGGTATGGTGCTGACAAACCTAGAAATATCATCGGGGCAAACCGGGATTTGATTGGCTAAAATGAGTGAATAAGGCTAATTATTTAAACTTTAAATGAAAATCTAAGCGAGAGCAAGTCGGTGACCCAACATGATTGTTTAGTCATGTTCGTACTTTTTATATATACATCTATGAAAATCAGCTTTGGTCAAAGACTTGCTCATGTTCAAGTATTAGAAAGTGCTTCCTGCAAACCTAAACAAATCTGACTTTCTGACAATATTTTCTATTTACCTCATCTAGACATCTTGTGTTGAAAGAGTCCCAAACATGTTCAATTTCTAAAAGTTTTGCCCAATTCTAAAATCGTGCATATCATGTGGGCCAAAAGCGCCCTAATCCTACCTTGTCCTTGAGAAATAAAAAGAGTTACTTCCCTTTTCTTAATGACCTACTTAAATATTTTAATTACAGAAATTATTAAACAGATTCTGTGACAAGCAATAGAAATTGTTCCCCAAAAGGTAATTTAATTCTTAATTCGTGAAATTTTGGGTAGGCAATACATCAATAATGAAAACAAAGTGAGATTGATCTAGCCTACTATAATAACAGTAACAACTGTATGCTGCAGGTACCTGCACTCCAAACATCCCCTGGCCCGTGATGCAGGACTGTTAAGTTAGCTACTCACTTTCTCCAGCTCCAGCTCCCCTTCTTGGTGCAGGCGGCCATTTTCTTTTTCCTTGACCTCCAAGTGAACACTGATCTCATCCGCTTCCCTTCGCGATCGGTTCAGCTGCAACAGTATAACGCTACCTGATAATACCCTAATCAGGCATTCCCAGCCTCAAAACCCCTCTATTTACTTCACAGGGCAAGTTTCTGTGTGACAATTGCTGCGAAGTCTTGAAATTAACGCGAGCGTAAATAAAATGCGAAAAATGTGAGTAGTCTTTGTTCAAATTAATGAATCTTGCATTTATCATGTTTATGTCTACAAAATGTCTATCGACAACAAAACGGCTTCACTGCACACTTTAGCAAGGGGTCGGCAGTTGTATTAATTTGGAAACGCATTAATTTCAAGATTTACAGTATTGTATGGCCTACATGGACTCAGTGAAGAACCCACATGGATAGTGCAAATCTTCAGCTTCCAACTTGAGCATGATCAACCTCGGTGGAAGCTTCAGTCTAGTAAAACTTATGTGTCTTGTAAGGTAATCTCATAAGTAGTGATTATTATACGAGCATGTGTGTCACACTGATTTTACAAAATGAGTGTCAGAATTCTTGTATTTTCCAAGCAGAGCGAGGGTAATACATTAATTCTTACAGGAGTTTTGTAAAATGAGTATGACACACGAGTGTAATAATTTCTTTTTGACCCATTATTTCTTAATCCTTTTGAGCTCTCCCTTTAGAAAAATGCACTGGTTACCACTGTTGTCCTAGAAATCACAATTTGTCGAACAACGTCAACAATCTTCAGCTATTCTAGTGCATCATCATTCCGACCTCACGTCACAATAAGATTTGAAAGACGTCAACAATGCCATATTTACTTACATCATTCAAATGGACAAGAATCAAATGAACAGGAATAACAAAAGCAAAATAGAAAACTAAACTATTGTATACTGTGGGGATAAACTACAAACAGTATGTCCAACAGTGGTGAACAAATAACAAATGACAAGCTGAAAAAGTAGAAATATTTGGATCCCTGACTACAGACAAATGTTCTCTGAAATACTGATAGAAACAAGCTATCACTGTTATGTCTAAAATACATCATAGCTACTCAGGTGTTAGAATGCAGAGACCCAATTTGCTTCTGTCTGCCATTTTTCCAGAACTATTTGGGACATCTAGAGGTGGATGACTCTTGAATAAAATTTCAAATATTCATGTAAAATGTACTTGGTCGACATGAAACCCCCACTGAGCGTCATCCTTTGTATCTAGTGGGTATCAATGCATAGAGGCACTGACAGCTCAGCAGAACAGTAGTAAACTGTGTATGTTCAGCACTCACAATGCATGGCGGGTGGGACAGATGTGCTTAATTTGGGTTTTGATTTGTTTGTTTGTTGTTTAATGCCGCACTCAGCAATATTCCAGCTATTTGACGGCGGTCTGTAAATAATCGAGTATGGACCAGACAATCCAGTGATTGACATCATGAGCATCGATCCACGCAATTGGGATCCATGACATGCATCAACCAAGTTGGCTAGCCTGAACAGCCGATCCCGCTAGTCACCTCTTACCAACAAGCGTAGTCGCCTTTACGGCAAGAATGGGCTGCTGAAGACCATTTGGCTTTTGAACAATATTGCAGTTACATCACAACTTGCTGGTATAAAGTGGGAGGAAGCTCCAAGTGTCATACACTTCTACCACTTTGGTGATGCCGTAAGCACAGGTACGATGCTGACTGACCAAGTATCTGGGTTTTGAACCCGTGTCAGCAGATCCCGGTAGTGGCAGCTATGGGATGCCTCTGAAAGCTAATTTCAGCACCTTGGACCACTGGACCACCCTTGTCTTCCTCAATACATGGAATCTGTGTGCAACTTCCACATGAATGATACATGGGTTATGCTAAGGAAGGGACGAGGGTGTCGACTGAGACATAAAGTCGTTACATGTCTGTCTGCATGAGGTGCATGTGTAACTGATATGGACGCACTGAGAAAATCTACAGTTTCACAGAAGCCAAACATAAAAAGTCTCAAAGGCAATTGATAAAAAACAATAAAAAAATTAAATTAGACTAAACTCACTACAACATGCGTGACATTCTACGTCCTAAATACAAACATGCAAGTTAAATTTGCCTACAAATCTTTCACCTACTGGCAGTTCAATCTCATTAAAATCCAATGTTCGTGCACGCCACTGCTACACTGCAGCTGATTCTAAGGAGACTGACTGGAAGCTGATCATGCACACTATGAGAAGCATAGACTACTTGTCAATACCGTACAGCCCTCTTGTCAAGTGGAGACAGTTTTAACCCTTTCACTGGTTAAGCCACAGAGAGGACACCGAGACAATGTGTTATATGTGATGGATACAGATGGTCTTTGCTGTTATGTTGGCAAACACAGTCTTGCAGAGCAGTGAAAAGTAACTAACACATCGAAGACGCAAGAGTCAAATAGAGATATGAAAGATTTTTCAATCTGTCTACAAATAACTTGATATATATATGTAAAAGCTTATTTCCTGCTACAAAGTCAGCAAATTCCTTCATAAACTTGAAAGCATTAGCTGCTTGCAACATGACTTACTGGAGGTGAGGAGAAATGGGGTTAAATGTCGCGTCCAATATTATTGCACTTATAAGGCGATGTGCGTGCATGTGTGTGTGTGTTTGTGTGTACTAGTCCAGACTGATGCCGATTTATAGTGCTAGTCCACTGAGATACCATGCCACATGTGTAACATGAATACACAGTATACTGACTCCGAGCCGACCAGTCCTTGTTTGAGCCCCTTAATGCCGAGCGCCAGACCCAAACAGGGTAACAACAAGTACCATCTTTTAACGTCTTTTGGTTTGCGCAGCAGGGGATTAAACCCCTGGACCTTCCACTCTCCGAGGGACGCTCTACCACTAGATCATAGAGGCAGTCACATGACTTACTGTAGTGTACTATGATACACACAAAGCACAGATCTCAGGATTATTAATTTTGCATGACATCCAGAAAAATCAAAACTTTCCAGCACTGGATATACTCAGACAACAAAATGCAAATCAACTTGTGTGAAACGTGGTTGGAAGGACAAAACTGTGAGTGTGAGAAAACTGTGCAGCTGACTTTCGAGTCTCCATTCCTTCTTAGTGCAGGTGAGTAAGATAACGTCTGTGTCAAACTGTGAATGTTGTGAACGGTACACTGATGTGGACTCAAAAACAAACTCAACAGGGTAGGACAAGGGGCACCTTCTGGCCCCCAAGAACTGACAAGTGTTTCAACTGTTCTAAAATAATTAAAAAAACTGACAGCCAGCATTTTTCTCACGACTTTAAAGTTTTGTGTTTATAACAACAGTGGTAGGAACTTAAGGCATGGGTATGTAAAAAAGCTGCCTTAATACATTTTGGAGGGCATTAAATTTTTTATTTTATTGAGTTCTTGACACAAAATGATTTTTTAGGAGATAATGCTGAAACTGCACCATATTTAGCATGTTTAGTTCCCCTCCACAAGATTGAAAAAACCTAAACATTTTATGCAATAAGTCCAAACTCTGTACTTGATGTACTTGTAAGACCAAAACACAAGTTTACGAAAAACAAAAGGTTTGCAGCTGTCAGTCATTTGAACATGTTGAACACTTTAACCAAAATCATAACAACATTTAACTGTTTTCACCAATGTCAGTTCTAGGGGGCCAAAAAGAACCCTTGTCATACCCCCATCCTTTCTCATCATCATCATGTAGGGTTGTAGCGATCCATCACTTTGCTGCAAGTGCTCCATGAGATGGTGACCTCTAAGACATCTGACTAGGACGAAGCACTTTGTTACTGAGCATGCTGGGTACCCTCAGTAAATAAAACACCTCTAAATAGCATTAAGAGAAATGTGCATACTCTATTTTCTATCCCACCCTTCTGAAAAACGGTGAGCTATAAGAATAAAGATACGAAAGGCTGTCTAAAAAATACCACTCTAATTAAAAGACGTAACCCTGTCATTTAAAAAGTTTGTTTGTTTCTTGTTTAATGCCGCACTCAGCAGTATTCCAGCTATATGACGGTGGCCTGTAAATAATCGGGTTTGGACCAGACAATCCAGTGACTATTTTCAGCAACGATCCATGAGGTGCCATGACAAGCCATCAAATCACTGAGCCTGACCACTAGATCCATTTAGAAGTAAAAATGTTTTGAGATTAAGAGCCGCAGACAAATAGTCTCTATGTCCAGGGTGCCGTTGTACAAAGCGATCTTAGCGCTAAGGTGATCGTAACTCCCATACCTTAACATAGACCTGCGACAGTCATAGCGCTAAGGTTGTTTTGTACAAAGGCACCCATATTCCCATTCCTATGACAATCATAAGTTAAAGTAGCAATGTTACGTTCACCTTAGCACTAAGATCTCTTTGAGGAATGGAGCCCTGCATGTAATAAGATATTACAACATAAGCTCGTTCTTCACATTGAGGACATGTTGGTCTGACCAATACAATTTGATGAAGATGAAAATACATTTTCTAGAAGATTACTTTCACTAGTAACAGGAAAGAAAAGGCTTTGAGAAAAAGACATTATTTACAAGCAACAACATTGAACTATCTTCTAGCATTGACGATGAGAAGGAAAATGAGTGCACACATTTGCACATGCACAACCGCTTCCGCACTCAAACACGCCGCCTGCACACACAACTGCACCATGTGCACACTCAGCAACTTACCCGGGTAGCAACACTGCGACTATAGCCTGAGGACTTGGGAGCAAAAAACACAAACGTTGATGTAACAATGCATGCAGGAGACAACAGTGGGGACGGGGAGGTTGGGGGATGGTGAGAAGTCAGGGCCCTCCCTCTTCCATGAAGTGATCTTAGGGCTACAACTGTCATAAGTCTATGTTCAAATGTGAGACTTATGATCTTCTTAGTGCTAAGATCGCTTTGTGGAACTGGCCCCAGCTCTGAACATTATACATAACATGAGCTGTTCATATAAGTGACAGCACCAGAGATTATCAAGGATTTCAAACTAAGTGCCCTTTCAGGAGTAGAAACAAACATTTTTAATCAACTAGTCCTTACAATGATAAGATATAGCAAAACCCTTGAAAATGGCACATTTCTACTAATCCTCATGATACCTTAACTATTGGCCAGTTTGGCAAGGACTATAGGACTAGTGCCAATTTCTAACGCTGCCTTGGCAGGCAAATTGGGAAAAGACTTGTTCAAATTTGTGACTTCTTTAAAGGTCTAATTTTCTTATTTTCGGAGTTATTATAACACAGCATTCTATACAACGATGTAAAATAAGCCTGAAGTCACCTCAACCAAGCCATCACATAAGTTATACCTATATTTACATGTTTACATATTTACATTGAACTTTTTAGTGACAATGGCTGCAGACTTGGGGTTGAATATCAGCCTCTGAGCACAGTCAGGTGATGAGTGTATCAATGTGTTGTTGACTTTGGGTATGGAAAATATTCATGGCTATCACAAAACTAAGGCCTCTAAAGCCTCCTTTCCATAAATTGAAGGCCATGCTGGACCATGCAAAGAAACTCCCACCTTCTGCACTGAAAGCGTAGCATGCACCATGCCCTTGTATTCAATTTGTTACAATGTTGGCTATATTCTACACAAACAACAGCAGGGGATCTGCTTCTATCCCACCTGATTACAGTCTCATCTTAGTCAGTGATAAGCAGTTCTGTTACCATTGGTAACATGTCATTTTCGGAATACTTCTTAAAAGAAATAATACTGTAATGTTTCTCAGCTACGTTTCTCAGATAAGTAATTTATGTTTCGAAACAACCATGAAGTGAGGAAAAGCCACACTCAGCAATATTCCTGCTGTATAACAATGGCATTCGATACAGTCTGAGCTCAAGCAACACCATTTAGACACAATGCCGCACTACCAGCCAAATCTGACACTTTAACCTATTCATCAGATCCTCATTAGTCTGCTGATTATGAGTGAGTTGGATTTTACACCCTTTTAGCAATATTCCAGCAATAACAAGTGCGGAGAAACCAGATTTGGGTTACACATTTTACCCATGTCGGGAATCGAAACCAGGCCTTACACGAGACGAGCGAACAATTTAGCCACTAGACTACCCCACCACCCAAGTCATCTTATAACTAGTTACAGGAAATAGGGAACAGCGGACATGGAGGTGTGCAGTCCTGGGACAGCATGCAAATCAAAAGTGACCAACTCCCTTCTATGCATCATTGCACGACATGCAGCCTTTTAATAATGAAACATTCTTGTTGTACTCATGCACGTGCACCAGTTGCATAAAACATGCATCTCGGCACCCTCACAACACATGCTGAAGAATCTCTACACAAAATCATATCGTAAAAGTTATTCAATATCCCACATGGCAACGGGTGTGCAGAAACTGAAACAATGCTACAACGTTACCTCATTATTCATGGAATATACACAACACTACCCATGCCACCAGAGCAGTCAGTACACTGGGAAACCATGCCCCGTGCGGAGTGGAGTGTACCTACCGCCATAGATTTGAGATACCGAGTTCTTTGAAGGACATATTCAATCTGGTGTACGAGGAAAACATTGTCAACTGAAATATGTCATCTATCATGAGAAACTGAAAGTCACTCTTGTGTTGTAAGTATTCTTGAGAAGTCACACAACATTTTGACCAGTGTTTGAAATAATATTAAAACCCAACAAGGCAGTCGGGCAGCTGACCCATAGATGTTGCCTGCCAATTTTGAACATTACCTGCCCATCATAAATATTGAAATACGCGAAACGTAAGAGACAAATCAGGTCTTGATTTAGTTGAAATATATTACAATTACTTGAGAATCTACAAGAAGTTTAAAAATTTAAAATTTTAAAAGTTTAAATTTGCTTAAAATTATCTGCCAGACAGTGGGGCAGGTAGAGGAAAATTTCATGCAGCCCAACAGAGAAGTTACCAGCCACGGGCAGGCAGCCAGTTATTTCGGACACTGATTTTCACTACTGCTTGTTAAGTGAGTGAGTGAATGTTGAATATGCCACATTCAGCAATATTCCAGCTATATCACAATGGCATGTAGACAATCGAATCTGGACCAGGCGAACTGCTGACTGAAAAAGTGAATATCATCCATGTGGTCCGGCCACAATTACAGGCAGTCAACCAAGCCACAGAGCCTCATCACCTAACTCCCTTTAGTCGTCTCTCTAAACAAGCATGGTTACCAGCTCTTCCCTCGAATACCCTCTGGAGTCACTTGTTAAACCTCTCCTTTCATACACACAAATACCACCAGTTTTGGGGCATGCATTGGCTGAAATATTTTTGTATGGAACATGTCAAAGAGGGCTGAGAAGGAATAAAGTTGAGCCCAAAACAAGCATAATTCAATGGGAACCAAATCCAAATGCAACAACAGTCGATCCTGACCACCAACAATCGTCAAACAGGGTTAAAGAAATAATAGACATCTTAATCTTACGTATCAAACTGATTCCTGAACAATGCCACAATGGTAGAATTTTGAGAAAGGAACCAAAATATGGTTGAGAAATTGTCTGCTATCAAGGAGCACTCAAGCTCCACGGTGAACCATAGACTACATGGTAAGGAGATGCATTATACATGCATATCCAGCATAAGGGCTGCAGAAGAACAAACAACGCCCTAAACCAGCAGTTTAACTCACCTGGTCTCTGTAGTCATCTGTGAGTTTCTCGCTCTGCCTCAAGTTGTTCCTCAGTTGCAGCATCTCCTCTTCAGCCAGCTGGAACTTACTCTCGATGTTAGCGATGGAAGACTGCAACACAGTCAGCGAGTCAGTACAGTATTTCATTGTGATTTAACGTGTACTGAGAATTTAGTCCTATCTTATCTAAGTGATAGTGTTTCCGAGTTGTTTACATCAGTAAAACACACCAGGGGCCTGTTCCACAAAGCTGATCTTAGCGCTAAGGTGATTGTAACTCCCATCCTTTAACATGTTTAACCTCGACTTAAGACAGTCGTAACCCTAAGACAATCCTGTTATCCCTCGTAGCTTGTGTCATGTAAGTTATTCTCGAAGTAAGTAATGATGCTTGTCTGAAAGTTTCTCAAATGAGAAAACTCTTATGAGTGTGCTGTTGGAATGTCATGTCTGGAATTGAAATGGACAGATTCAACTGATTAGGATTATTCTGTTGAGGACCTGACAGCAGATATTCTGAAGGACTACATGTTCCTAAAACACTACCTTGGTGGCTCTATTTAACCTCAGATGTATCTGGGATGGCTTGGTCAAAATGTCTTGGTAAAGAGAGGAAGGCATACAGGCCACTTAAGCATATCAAGGCAACTAAATACACAAATATTTCCCTACCTTTAACCTTTCGTTCTCCAGCTTCAGATTTGACACCTCGGATGTTTTTTCATGCAGCCTGACAGTGACAGTGTCCGAGTTGGAGCGAGCACTCTCCTCCACCTTGTCCACAAGGTACTCCAGCTCACTGATCCGACTACAACACAGTACAACCACTCCAGCATAAATACAGCTCACTGATCCAAATACAACACAGTACAACACTCACTGCCCTGACTACAACACAGTACAACCAATCACTGATCCGACTACAACACAGTACAACCACTCACTGATCCGATTACAACACAGTACAACACTCACTGCCCTGACTATAACACAGTACAACCAACCACTCACTGATCTGACTACAACACAGTACAACCAACCACTCACTGATCTGACTACAACACAGTACAACCACTCACTGATCCGACTACAACACAGTACAACACTCACTGCCCTGACTACAACACAGTACAACCAACCACTGATCCGACTACAACACAGTACAACCACACACTGATCCAACTACAACACAGTACAACCACTCACTGATCCGACTACAACACAGTACAACCAATCACTGATCCGACTACAACACAGTACAACCAATCACTGATCCGACTACAACACAGTACAACCAATCACTGATCCGACTACAACACAGTACAACCAATCACTGATCCGACTACAACACAGTACAACCACTCACTGATCCAACTACAACACAGTACAACCACTCACTGATCCGACTACAACACAGTACAACCAATCACTGATCCGACTACAACACAGTACAACCACTCACTGATCCGACTACAACACAGTACAACCACTCACTGATCCGACTACAACACAGTACAACCACTCACTGATCCGACTACAACACAGTACAACCAATCACTGATCCGACTACAACGCAGTACAACCAATCACTGATCCGACTACAACGCAGTACAACCACACACTGATCCGACTACAACACAGTACAACCAATCACTGATCCGACTACAACACAGTACAACCAATCACTGATCCGACTACAACGCAGTACAACCACTCACTGATCCGACTACAACACAGTACAACCAATCACTGATCCGACTACAACACAGTACAACCACTCACTGATCCGACTACAACACAGTACAACCACTCACTGATACGACTACAACACAGTACAACCAATCACTGATCCGACTACATCACAGTACAACAAAGGAAATACACACTTTAATGACCTCAGGTCACTTAAACAGCTGCAATACACTAGGTCACAGTGACATACACATCGATCTTGGGCACCTTGTATTCTAAATACAGCATTATGCTAATTCTCAATAAAAAGATAGTTCAGATTCAAAATAAACAACTCAAAGTTTGATGGATGACTCTGAATTGGTCACAAATTGTTAATGTTGCTTAGATATGAATGAGAGTGAGTGAGTGAGTGAGTGAGTTGTGTTTAACGCCGCTTTTAACAGTATTCCAGTCATATCACGGCGTGTCAGCTTAATGTGGGAGGAAAGCCCGAAGTGATGCAGGTCTCAGACGTTTACCACCTCGGTGAAACCCACGAGCACGGGTATGGTGCTGACAAACCTAGAAACATAATCGGGGCGAACCGGGATTCGAACCCACAATTATAGGTTTCTGGCGTGTAAGGGACGCAACTCTGCACAGCGAATCGCGGCGCCTTAGACGACTGGGCCACCCGTGCCCCCAGATATGAATGAGACAATCTTCTTGCATCAATAGGTGACTTTTGGGGCTTTGTCCACTCTTGTGATGATTTGTTTGTTTGTTGTTTAACGCCGCACTCAGCAATATTCCAGCTATATGACGGCGGTCTGTAAGGAATCGAGTCTGGACCTGACAATCCAGTGATTGACATCATGAGCATTGATCCACGCCATTGGGATGGATGACATGCATCAACTAAGTCAGCGAGCCTGACCACCCGATCCCAATAGTCGCCTTTTACGACAAGCATAGACGCCTCTTACGACAATCATGGGTTGCTGAAGACCTATTCTAGCACGGATCTTCACAGGCTTCTTGTGATCATATTGAAATAGTAACCAACACTTATTGCAATATTATTGTGATAGTAGTAAACCCAGTTTTTGGCTTGATAGTTATATCAATCAATGTAATAGAAATGAATAAAGTGATTCCGACAATCTCAAAGTCAGCCATGTTCCTACCTGTTGCTACTCAAAACAAAGGGAAGTAACTCTAATCTGAAGTTGTCATAATCCTTGCCAACGATCACATAATCATGATTGAAATTTGCATAATTGATGCTTTATTTAAAACTAATTGCAACTATTGAAGCTATCGATTGTTATGAGTATTATCGACAATGTTATTGGCATTTTGTTTCTATTGATATAGTGGTAATGTAGGGGAAACAGTTGCAATACATCAGTAGTTTGATATACTCTTACACTCCGTATCAATGTCTTATACAAATGCAATGCAAGTGTCCAGTGACACAGTTATACACAGCACACAGTCAGCAATATTTCAGCTTCATCATGACTGCCTGAAACAACTTCATAGTGCATGTACAGGGATCCATCTGTCGATGACAACCTGTGCCACAAGTGAGTGAGTATGTTTTTACGCCGGTTTTAGCAATATTCCAGCAATATCACGGTGAGGACACCAGAAATGGGCTTCACACATTGTACCCATGTGGCGTGACGAGCAAGGGCTGTAACCGCTAGGCTACCCCACCTGTGCCATAACATACACCTGTAACATGAACAATTCACATGCTCACCTGTCCTTTAGGAAATCTGACCTTTCGGTTCTTTTGGAATATTGGTAAAGGTTGTCATGGCTATGACATTCAATAAATATGGAGCATAATTATTTTTTTCCAGACTGGCATATACAAAATGTATAATTTGAATATCCAGAACATAGGCTGTTTCCTTCTGGGACAAGTGAGGGCAAATGTTAAAGAAAAGTGACATCACGCCATCCACACAGAACAGTTGCAGGTTAGATCACAGCACACAAAGCAGAAAGATACACACCCAAGCCTACAATATGTCAACAGAAGAGGATACCATTAAAGTAATAGACAAAAGCAAAATGGTGTTAGGCATGTCAGCTTCTCTTGTACAATTCGGAAGTAAAATTCACAGAACTAAACACGAAATTACTGAAAACTTAAAACAACACAAAACTACACATGAAATATTTCACACAAGTTACATTTCTGAATCAGGTTAATTGACCAAATTATAATCACTGCAATTCTTCACATCAACTTTCTCAGATGGCCAAACTTACGTTTTTAAAGCTGTGTTTTCTGCTTGGGCTTGAGCCCGCTCCTTGGATATTTTTTCAATGTTGATTGTGACATGATCAAGGTCAGATTTTAAATCAGCTACTTGAGTCTCTCTCTCCATTAGCTGAGCATTGAGGCAATCTAAAGCGTCCTCGCTGCGCTCTGCTCGCTGCTTCTGGGCTCTGCACAAACAAGGAGTGCTCATGCAATAACTGGCGAGCAGTGCTCATAAGGATGCTACTCTACGCATGTGATATTCCCTGTCCTCAAGCTGCTGTACATCAAGCATGTACTATTACTTTATCTACAGTTTCACTTCTTTGTCATATTTTGTTTAACGAAGCCTGTCTTTGACGGACATTCTAACAGTTGATGAATTTAATCACATACAATATAAAGGGAGGTTGTTCTTTAAACCATAAGGCCTGCCAATGTTATTTCTTGTCTTACATATTTAATTGGTGAATATGCCAAATTGTTATAATACAAAAAAATATTTAAAGACCATTTCTAAAACAAAGCTATGTTAATCATGTTCCATAATTTGTTCAGTAAAATATTTGTTTTTAAATCACTCAATTCACAGCTATATTCAATAAGGATCATACCAACGAGAAACAAACCTGAAGTTACCATCCACTTTAATGCTTTATTTTAAATATCTATAATATATTGTTTCATAACATTATTGCTACAGCTTGTACAAAGATGCTCTAGGATGTCTAACACTGGAAAACCGTTCATACTCAAGCCCCAGATATTGATGTTCTCTGCAAACCTACGTGATCATTTACCCTTCTTATTGTTATTTCATTAAATTTAGATCTTGTAATCTGACTGGGTACCACTCAATAGCTGACAAGTCCTTCCATAGCAGGTCAGGTCAGGTGAACCCGGAGTGAAGTTTACTCGCAAAATCAAAATGATAATTCATGGGTTTTTGATCCAATCAATGATCAGCTTTCTGTAAGGAATCGGCTTTACTACGCTCAACTCCTTTTGTCAACATGAATCTTGAGTTAGTTTCTGCATGGTAAATTCTTTAGTTGTCATGATGCTCAGAAATGACAGGCTGTAAACATAGTAGGGCTATTATTATTTTCTCCATTTAGAACTCCCCATTCACATTCGTTTTCGAGATACAGAAATCAGAATGCTTGTTCTGTGAGTTTAGAAGCCCCATGACTGATTAGCAGATTTGTAAGTTCACCTGATGTGACCTTCAATGGAATGTTTGTTAGATGTTGACAGAGAGAGGCATAAAATCAAATCAGATTTTAGAAGTGAAACATGACCCTCCAACTCTTGACTTGTACGTGTCTTTGTTATGCGCGACACGAATACCATCATGACAGAGTGATTCTTACAGTGTTAGCTAACAATGGATAGAAGATCAATGAAATAAGCTGCCCAAGACAATAGAAATATCACATGTTCAGAATAGAAACGGAAAAGAAGACAAGTTGATATCAAAGAAGGACATAGTTGTGACCCCAGTGTAATCAGTCTGTGCTTGATTGACCAGGGGTAGACCCCAACAAGTACATCCACCCAACCCACAGCTCATTTCAGAGAGGTGCTTAATGTAAAATAACTATGTTTAGGAGAAAAACAAATTGTCCTGAAAGATTTTGGGGACGAGCAGACGAGTAGGCAGTCTGACCTTGGAACAAGAGCAAGGTTGTTAAGTTTCAGAATCACATATTCAGGAACAAAAATCCAAACTGTGGCAGCAATTTAAATATCAATGCCAGAAAAAATAAAGTTAATTTTGAATTCAATAGCCAGAACAGTATCACATATTAGAGGTTTAGTATAACTGACTTATTTCTCAGAACATGAGCTTCAGTAATTACTGACACAGAAAGAATTACACTGTAGTCCCAACTCACATAATCTAGCTGTGGCATCTGGTTTCTAATACATTCTAGATGTACTAGGAGCTAAGGAGAGACTATAATTATCATTGAAATGAATATTGTTGGCTACAGAAATAGAGAATATGTTGGGTAAGGATATGTGTCAGTTACCTTCCACTGACTATGTGCTTGTCACAAACAACTACTGGTATGTGCTTTGAAATGATTCTAACTAGGTATATATGTGCATACTTAAATCATATATGGAAGTGCAAAAAAAAAAAACATCACTGAATGAGGTAAAAATTTAGTTTTTAGGACGGAAATTATTCAGCATATCGTTAAACAGGATTTGTCACTAAAATGTCAAGGATCATGTTCACAGAAGTCTAATGACAATTGTCTCTAGACCCCACTCCCCTCATAGCCTAAAGACAACAGTCCCAGGTCCCCCATTCACTGTGTGGCCTAATGACAATTGTCTCAAGATCCCCACTCCCCTCATAGCCTAAAGACAACAGTCCCAGGTCCCCCACTCACCGTGTGGCCTAATGACAATTGTCCCTAGACCCCACTCCCCTCATCGCCTAAAGACAACAGTCCCAGGTCCCCCACTCACCGTGTGGCCTAATGACAATTGTCTCAAGGCTCCGCTCCCCTCAGAGCCTAAAGACAACAGTCCCAGGTCCCCCATTCACTGTGTGGCCTAATGACAATTGTCTCTAGATCCCCACTCCCCTCATTGCCTAAAGACAACAGTCCCCCTACTCACTGTGTGGCCTAATGACAATTGTCTCAAGGCCCCTCTCCCCTCATAGCCTAAAGACAACAGTCCCAGATCCCCCACTCACCGTGTGGCCTAATGACAATTGTCTCAAGGCTCCACTCCCCTCATAGCCTAAAGACAACAGTCCCAGGTCCCCCACTCATCGTGTGGCCGAATGACAATTGTCTCAAGGCCCCTCTCCCCTCGTAGCCTAAAGACAACAGTCCCAGGTCCCCCACTCACCGTGTGGCCTAATGACAACAGTCCCCCACTCACTGTGTGGCCTAATGACAACTGTCTCAAGACCCCTCTCCCCTCATAGCCGAAAGACAACAGTCCCAAGTCCCCCACTCACCGTGTAGCCTTCTTGAGGGCGTCCTTGTCCCGGTCACTCTTGCCCTTGGCGTTGTTGAGAAGATCCTGGATGTGATCCAACTCGATCTTATCCTGGTTCACCTGACTCTCCAGGCTCTGAAACAACCACACTATGTAACCTTGGCCTCGCACACTCAAAACAACTGTAATGCTAAGACTCAGAAAGATCCTACAGTGCTGTATCGCATTACACTGAGCACCAGTTTCAGAGAGTGACTCTAGTACTACAACTGCCACAATCTAGTTTTACCATGGATGAATTTGACGTTGAGTCATCTAGATTTCATGGAACTCGACTGGTATCATGAATAACAATGTGTCATCAAGGTATAAAGACTTAGGATTAACTAGTGCACCAATCCATTGAAGCCATCTGTAACAAGAAGCCTGCGATGAAGGGGGCGTATTCTGCCCCGGAACCCCTGTAAAGATCTGGATGCAGTTGTACAAAACAACCTTAGCGCTACGATGGTCATAAGTCCATGTTAAGGTATGGGAGTTACGATCACCTTAGCGCTAAGATGGCTTTGTACAACGGCACCCTGGTACATGTGGAGTTGATACCATACTTCATGAAATTAACTTGACTACATCATCGACTAAACGTTTACGCCTGACACCAGTCGTGGTGAACCTGTGGGCCACTTGCACAAAGCAATTTTAGTGCTAAGATGATCGAATACTCCCATACTTTAACATAGGTTTGTGACAGTCTTAGCGCTAAGATCGCTTTAAGCAAAGGGCTCTGGTATTGCATTGTGCACATGTATTATGTACCATGTGATACTGCTGCCTGAGAAACATAAGCATAAGCTGACAGAGATGAAAAAGAGGAGTGAGTGAGTGAGTGAGTTGGGTTTAACGCCGCTTTTAACAGTATTCCAGTTATATCGCGGCGTGTCAGCTTAATGTGGGAGGAAAGCCCGAAGTGATGCAGGTCTCAGACGTTTACCACTTCGGTGAAACCCATGAGCATGGGTATGGTGCTGACAAACCTAGAAACATAATCGGGGCGAACCGGGATTCGAACCCACAATCATAGGTTTCTGGCGTGCCCAAGGGACGCAACTCTGCACAGCGAACCGCGGCGCTTTAGACGACTGGGCCACCCGTGCCCCCTGAAAAAGAGGAAGTCTTCACCAGGACATGACACTTAGGATCATAATCATGAAGTTAGCTTTGAGTTGGATGATGGATGTCAGTGAAATGGGCACAGTGATGAAGCTTACAAAGTGACCAACATCTACAGTAACTGCTGGCAGATATTATAACTTCTGGCAACATGGCTCACAAACTAATCACCACACCCTTCCAGGCTCTCACAGTATTCAGGGATGAGAATGGACATTTTTCTTTTCAGCTGAAACATCTTTTCAATGGAGCGTGGTCCATAATTTGGGAGTGTTTATAGGGGGTTCATCAGAATTTAACAAATTTGTGCTCTCTAAACTTCGCGGAAAAACACGGATCTGCAGAAGGTTCTCATTCCTGAGTATTTCATTTGTTTATTTGTTTGTTGTTTAACATCGTCCATACATAATCGAGTCTGGGTCCAACAATCCAGTGATTCACATTGTGAACAACGATCGACTTCATCAGGGTATGAGGACACGCTATCAACCAAGTCACTTAGCCTGACCACCCATAGCTGGGTACCTATTCTAACCAGTAATTTCCATGAGGCAAAGTACTAAAAATTAAAGATGGAGGCTGATGGGTCCTTGTCACGACTCCAATGTTCAAAGTTAAAGATTTAGAGATTCCCTTTATTCAAATACTATAGCAGCAAAGTTATGCCCCGGAACCTCTATTACTTATTATCTCAAACACTCTTGGCAAGAAATATTTACATTGAAGGAATCAGTTTGATTCAAGGGAGTGAAAGCCCATTATTTTCCATGCCTATATCAAAATTTGTTTGTTTGATGTTTAATGCCATACTAAAATATACTCCAGCCACATGACCATGATTACAGCGGTTTGTCAAAAAGAAAAAAAATCGAGTCTAGGCAAGATATTCCAGTGATTGACAAAAACATCAATCTACAGAATAAGAATGTGATGTCAGGCTTCGGTGAAACCTACGAGCACGGGTATGGTGCTGACAAACCTAGAAACATAATCAGGACAAACCAGGATTCGAACCCACATTCATAGGTTTCTGGCGTGCCCAAGGGACGCAACTCTGCACAGCAAATCACAGCACCTTAGACGACTGGGCCACCCGTGCCCTCAGAGCCTTATGGATGAGAGCTGCTTTAAATATCTACATATATACATCTTCTGGGATTACAGTATTTACGTTATTGTTGTATTTTCAATTTCTATAGATAAGTCAAAGAATGTCACAATATGTGTCAATCTGCTCACTGAATTCGCAAGAAGAACTAGGCCACACACTTCAAGCAATGGCAGTGTATTGCCTGGTAAATCTTAAGCTCTCTCAAGCCGTGGCTCAGCATGTAGAGCTGGAATATTGCTGATAATTTCGCAAGGTTGAATGATGAAGATAATAGCTTTACTCATGTGCATATTAGCAATTCCCAATGCTGTTTGGTCATGACAAATCACAGTGCTTCATTGTTTAGAAAAATATACAGCAATGTTATCCATTGTTCATGACTTCACATGGACGGTGGGGTAGCCTCATGGTTAAAGCATTCGCTCTTCAAGCCGAAGATCCAGGTTCGAATCCCGATATGGGTACAATGTGTGAAGCCCATTTCTGGTGTCCCCCGCCGTGATATTGCTGGAATATTGCTAAAAGCGGTGTTAAACCATACTCACTCACTCACTAACTCATGACTTCACAAATTACATGATGTTATCTGAACTACAGGCTGTGGAGTATCTCTGTGGGGTTGACATTTCATACTGTTTTTCTTCATTATCTATCTAAAAACGTCAACGAGTAACGCTTAAAAAGATAACAGTCTTGGTTCTCAGGCCCCACTTTTCGTTTTTATTTCCATCTTCAAAATTTAAAAAACAACTAAAACTCCCTTTTACATGCACTCTGCTTTACTGTGCATCTTGTGTTATGGTCATGGCGGCAATAGGAGTTTGTATGCTTGTTTATGTAGGGAGGCCCTTTCCCAGGTTGATAGTACATGACCGTTTATTTGGTCACATGCTTTTTGAACAACAAAAAACAACAACGCCCGCCCACACTATGTTTTCAAAGACATTGCCTGAGAACCAATTCTTGTGTTTTTTAAAGCCTAATATATACAAAAACCTACTCAAAATTTGGAATTGAGTACAATCTATCCCTTGGATTAACACACACTAAATTTCCTCAAACAGATAATATGTAATTACTCATATCTTTGTTATTTTCGGTGGGGCGTTCAACAACAAACAAATATCCAACAGTGAGCTAGTGTATGTTTGGTCACTCTGCAGCTCTGTGTCCATTACCCTGATCTGTACAGCCATGCGGTTACAGTCCGCCTCCTTGGTGCGAAGCTGCTTCTGTAGGTGTGCCCGCGTCCCCTCCAGCGTCCCCTGCAGGCCGGACAGTGCCATGTTCTCCTCCTGGGATAGACGGAACAGCCCCATTACACACAGCACACCACACAACTAGCAACAGGAACACCACAGAGGAACACCACAGAGGAACACACAGGAACAAGATCGCATACCTACATCCAACACAAATGTGTATGGAGGGAAGGCCCTCAAATCTTTACATATATTCAGATTTTCATTTCACTCATGTGTAGAATGTTTTTTCAAGAATGACCATAATCTCATGGTGTATATTAACTAAAATCAGTGATAATCAAAGCTGCAGTGGGGCAATCAATGAACCATGTTTTGGTCATAACAATCATTATGTACATAAGAGGGTCATTTCAATTTCTAGATGATTTACCGTTGATCAATTTTACAACACAATTAAATTGTTACGTTTGGGGTCAGGATTAGCATACAGTAAGTTCCTGACAATGTAGACACAATTTATGGATAACAACTTCAGTAGAAATTTTAGAAATTACGAGACAAGAATCTCCCTCAAATGAACCTTAGTTCATTCTTAGTTCCAGGCAAATAAACATGATCAAGAAATTGAAAGTAGAAGAGATCACGCAAGAAAAGTCAACAAATTAAGAAATAATAACTTAAACATTTAGTTGCTATAGTTACAAATTTACATAATTTTATTAAAAGGAAAACATATTAATGATTAAAAAATCTGGATAAAGATCAAATAAATCTATTATTTATGTCTGAATATATACCTGTATACTTTTAATTTTATGAAACAGCTATGGTTTGGGAGATTTCTTGATTTATTCATCAAACAAATATTAATGATCTACAAGTGGCATCATCTTTCTCAAAAGTTAAAAACACAGCCATAGAACATTGAACAGACAGCTCCAAAGACACACAAGGACAAGATGTCAAGAAATGTGACAAGTCTACCAGAAATATTAACATCAATGAAAATGTGAACTAACTGTCTTTCCTTCCTATAAGCATGCAGCAGGCAAGGAACAATGTCTTGATTACTTACTAATATGCATTTGTTGACACAACATGTACAAGATAATATTCATTGGTAAAATTAATACAATTTAATCATGTAACTAAGCTAACTGATGATGTATATCAGACCTCGTAAATGTTCTCTACACATCAAAGAAAAGTTTAAGGCATAATGATTAAATACCTGAATTCTTTGTCAACATTTCAGAGTTAGCCATTACCTAAGAAATAGACACCACACCCAATTTTATATAAAAAAACCTTCATCACTTACTCTTTGGGCTGCAGTTTGATTCCTCAGATCAACTATTAGTCTGTCTCTCTCCAACAGCTCTAAGCGCAGCCTCTGGAAAAGTGAAATAAGATAGTAGTTGTATCTGTTGTATGATTGATTGAGTTTGGGTGAGTGAGTGAGTTTGGATAAGTGAGTTTGGATGAGTAAGTGAGTGAGTGATTGATTGATTGGTTGGTTGGTTGGTTGGTTGGTTGGTTGGTTGGTTGGTTGGTTGGTTGGTTGGTTGATTGATTGATTGAGTTTGGGTGGGTGGGTTGGTGGGTGGGTGAATGGGTGGATTGGTGAGTGAGTGAGGAGTGAGGTCTTGTTTCTGTCATGCTCATAGTTATGCACATAAGATAAGCATGGATTAGATTGATTTCTCAGTAGCAAAGCATAATTTAATGAGTCAATGCAATTTCACAAAGAGCCAAATTCACACTCGCAAACACAGAAAAAACAGGTTTCAGTAAGGTTTTCAATTTTTACCATGTTTACTCTGAGAAGCAAATTATATCATAGGTCAAATAGTAAGAAGGTCAAAGTGCAGAAATTGAGATTAATAATTGGGATCAAATAAATGTTGTCCTCAACATCACACGTTTTTTTACATCGGTCAAGGCAATTTCATGATAACAGTGTTGCTGACAAAAAATTTTTATCTCACCTCGGTGAGTCGATCCATGTCAGCCATCTTCTTTATGAGAACATCTCTCTGCTCTGACAGACGGAGCGCCGACGCCTCCTGACTGTGCTGCTCACGGAGAAGTCGGCGCAGTGTCCTATTTGTTGCTTCGAAATCTGTCAACTTTTCCAAGAGGAGTTCTTTCTGTTTCGTTAATTTTGCACCTTCAGCAGATGGCCTGCTCTCCTCCCTAATGCGGCGGACGGTTTCCCGGAGTTCCCGGACCTGCTGAGCGGCTGCTTGGCCATCCATCTCCACCTCAATCAGCTTCTTCATCAATTTCTCTCTCTCAACACTGAAGAAATCCCTGTCACACAAGAAAATACATTTAAGACTGGGTATTACATGGAATTGTCAAAGGCTATAGACTCTTTAAACCATCAAAACTAGCTTGAGATACTTCACTTGCCCTCTAATGATAAAGCTTTACACGAAAAAGATGTGAAATAAATACTGTTAGTCCAAAAGTTATTTCAAACTGGTTATCCTGCAACATTAAGACATTTTGAGAACTAAAAGCCTGGGTGAGAATAGGTCTTCAGCAACCCATGCATGCTTGCTGTAAAAGAAGACTATGCTTGTCGTAAGCATGGTAAGTGGTGACTAACGCGATAGGGTGGTCAGGCACACTGACTTGGTTGATGCATTCCCTGGGCCCCATTCCACACAGCAATAGTAGCGCTATGACAGCCGTAAGTCTGTGTTAAAGTATGGGAGTTACGATCACCTTAGAGCTGCGATTGCTTTGTGGAACGGAGCCCTGCTGTCTAGTCTAGTCTAATAGACTCTGACAGGAGCCGGCTGAAAACAGGATACAGCTATATGTTTGAAGAACAAAGAGGGATTACTTGATTTTCACACACTTTCATAGGCATATAATCACAACCAGCAACTCACTTGCTGATGTCGACATCTTCGTGCATGAGGTCCATGCTTTTGCGGAGCAGCCTGTTCTCCTTCTCAGTCAAGCACAGCTCATCGTGGAAGTCCAGGATCTCCTTCTCCTGCTTCTGGATGATACGCTGTGAGGTCTCCAGGAGGTCCTCCTTGTGCTCAATCTCCGACATTGCGGTCTGGAGTGCAGCCTAGGGAGTACATGGTGGGGATTGTACAACTATAGGATGATTTCATACAATAGATCATGTCATATTGTCAAACAAAATCGGAGTCGTTCTGATAAACATAATAAATAAAATAACGTGGTAGCCATTTTGCCAAGCCAAATGGCACGTTTTTCAATTTGAGACTGAGGAAATATACACTTATCAAGAAAAGAATTCAAGTCTGAAAGAATTCCGGGATCCAATCCCAGTTTAAAATGTTTTACAACTAATGAGATTGCAGCACACTCCCTTTCATTGTACAATGATTGTAACACCAGCAAATCTGAAAACACATCTTATGAAGGTTAGATAGAACCAAGCATGGTACATTGTGCCCATGTGGGATCGAAGCTCTACTATGAGACTGTTTCCCCACTGCTCTATCTCATCTCCCTTAGTTCCAGAAGACACTGGAGTTATGAATAGGTAAAATAAAAATAATTTCACGCACAGGAACCATCAAGCAGCATCTGAAAAGGGGATGGGCATAGGATGCAAGAGCTGAAAAGGGGATGGGCATAGGATGCAAGAGCTGAAAAGGGGATGGGCATAGGATGCAAGAGCTGAAAAGGGGATGGGCATAGGATGCAAGAGCTGAAAAGGGGATGGGCATAGGATGCAAGAGCTGAAAAGGGGGTGGCATAGGATGCAAGAGCTGAAAAAGGATGGGCATAGGGTGCTAGAGCTGAAAAGGGGGTGGCATAGGATGCAAGAGCTGAAAAGGGGATGGGCATAGGATGCAAGAGCTGAAAAGGGGATGGGCATAGGATGCAAGAGCTGAAAAGGGGGTGGCATAGGATGCAAGAGCTGAAAAGGGGATGGGCATAGGGTGCTAGAGCTGAAAAGGGGATGGGCATAGGATGCAAGAGCTGAAAAGGGGGTGGCATAGGATGCAAGAGCTGAAAAGGGGATGGGCATAGGGTGCTAGAGCTGAAAAGGGGGTGGGCATAGGTGCTAGAGCTGAAAAGGGGGTGGCATAGGATGCTAGAGCTGAAAAGGGGATGGGCATAGGGTGCTAGAGCTGAAAAGGGGGTGGGCATAGGTGCTAGAGCTGAAAAGGGATGGGCATAGGATGCTAGAGCTGAAAAGGGGATGGGCATAGGATGCTAGAGCTTGTAAAGGGGATGGGCATAGGGTGAATAAGATAAGAATGGAATTGGAGTGACTGTCTAATAAAAAAATAAACATGCTCTAGTGTCAGTAAGACTAGGAGACACTGTACCTCATTTTTTAGGGTTCCAACCTCTGTCATAAGAGAGTCAATCTTTTTCTCATAGTTCCTCAAATTGCCATGAACACGATCTTCATCGTCTGTGGACAGATCTTCTATCTGAACCTCAGTCCGTGGCGTTGTGATCTCTAGACGATGTGTCGGACCCTGTGTGCGGAAAAACAGCGCCATGCAAATACATACACCTGACTTCAGGATTAGAAACTAGCACTAGTCTGCTAGCCTGAGACAGCTGGGAATATCACAAGATCAGGGGGTAAACTTACGATATGATTTTCTATCAGGGAAAATACAAAGACAAAGTTTTGTGTGAATGTAGATCACATTTAATGAGGAAGCACCGGGAAGGCACACACCAATCTATTACTCAAAAACAAAAACAAATCCTGATTCCATTGCAGTAAATCATTCCAAAGTAATGCACTGAAATCTCTATTAAGGGCCTGGATCAGAATGTTAACCCGTCGCAGACATCATGTGTTCTTGAGACAGACATTCTTCCCCCATCTCTGTGATGGCCCTTCAAAGTGTCCCGTAAAATATCCCAAACAATAATCATCCACATTATTATTGTCAATAATAAACTTCTGCAGGGTACTCAATAACACACTGGGCAGGTTCAGTTTCATCTTTTGTACAAATTTGATTATGTTTCTCAACAGTTACAATTGCAAACTCTCAAAACTTCTGAAGATAAATGCCTAGAGTTGTCACTGATAGACAGAAATACTGACAGATGAAAATAGCACCAATAGCACGTTTCCCAATAATTTATCGATCCCGTAGCATGGAATATCAACACACTTATTTAATTGTTTTGTCATAAATAGTACTACTGGACATGATAGAAAGTATCTATTAAAGACACATGGCTCAGAATAATGTTTGTTTGTTTGTTCGCTTGTTGCTAAACGCAGTACTCAGCAATATTACAGCTATATGACGAGAGTCTGTAAATAATCATGTCTAGACCAGACAATCCAATGATTGACATCATGAGCACCACCTGATCCCTTTAGTCACCTCTTATGACAAGCGTAGTATTTGTTGCTGAAGAGCTATTTAACTCCGATCTTCACGGGTCTGTTAGAAATTAAGGGTTTCCTGTGGTCACATGCTGATCGATCCTAATTGAGGATCTCTAATATGGATCTATTGACTAATAACACTAGTATCACAATGATAATAAAGACCCTTGGCTTTCATTCTCAGTATTGATGTGCTCTGTTTGTTGTTTAATGCCACATTCAGCAATATTTCAGCTATACAACAGTGGTCTGTTAATAATTGAGTCTGGACCAGAGAATCCATGGCATCATGAGCATCTATCTACTCTATTGGGAGTGAGTATGGTTTACACGGCTTTAAGCAATATTCCGGCAATGTCACGTGGTGGGGGACACCAGAAATGTGCTTCACACATTGTACCCATGTGGGGAATTGAACCGGGGTCTTTGGTGTGACGAGCAAACGCTTTTACCCCTGGGCCGGAGAGCGGAAGGTCCGGGGTTCAATCCCCAGCCACGTCATACCAAAAGACGTTAAAATATTGTGCTTTTCCTTAGCTTGACGTTTGGCAATAAGGAGCAAAAACCAGAACTAGTCGCCTCGGCGTCAGTATAGTTTGTCTGAGTGGGGTATTCATGTTAAACTGTGGCAAGCTATCTCAGTGGTCTAGCACTATAAAATCGGTATTAGTCTGACTAGTACAAGGAGTCACACACACACACATGCATGTCGCTCTATAAGTGCAATAATCTTTGACACGATGTTAAACATCATTTCACCTCATCTACACTATTTGGATACGAAGACATGCATCAACCAAGTCAGTGATTCTGACCACCAAATTGTATTAGTCGTCTTTTACGACAGGCATGGGTTGCTGAAGACCAATTCTAACCACATTTTGAGTATTGTCAAGGATGAATTAAATAGTTATCAATATCATAAAAGAGTAACTTCTTATTTAAAATTTGAATTTGTTTCAAAATATTTGTTCATATTTGCCTTGATAATTGATTAAAGCTTTTCACTTTCAATAAAATTAGCGGTAAACCATTTTAATTGAGCAATATATATTACTGGAATTCTAGGATAGCATTCAACAGCACAACAGTCCCTTTGAATTTCACAAGCTTCAACTTTGAGGAAATCATAAATGGTGGACACTGAACTTTAAAAGCCGCCTCTGCAGCAATGAAAACAAACAAACCTGCCAGGATATCTTTGAGCCCTTGGTTGCTTTCCCCGGTGGGGGGACCCATGGCCCTCCCCCTGGACTGCGACTCCGAGCCCGGGCTGAGGCAGTGGTGCTCTTGCGCGGTTTGATCCTCAAGTTCTGGACACCCAGGGAACTTGAAAACCCCTGTAACATGAATGTGTTTAACATTAGTGAGATCAATATTAGAATGTGAGAAACTGATTTAGTTCTGTAGTTCAGTTGTATACGGAAGGAAAACTTCTGATCAGTTGCCATACTTAGGACAGCAAGATACAATGCAGGTTGTAGAGGTTTACCGCTTGGTGCAAAATAATGTGATGACGATATGGCCAAATCTAGAATACTGTATTTCCTTGATTAAACGGCCAGACGTAGTTTACCTTAGACCTCTTCAGCCCTGGCTTTTAATCTCAAAGATGATAATAGGGGAAAATTCAGTGCATAAGAGCTAGCCGGCATTTAATTAAGACCCAACATTTAATCAAGACCCCTGATGTTTATTTAAGTCCTGGGCCCACTTGCACAAAGCGATCTTAGCACTACAACTATTGTAAGCCTATGTTAAAGTATGGGAGTTACGATCATCTTAGCACTAAGATAGTTTTGTGCAAGTGGGCCCTGGTGTTTGTTTGAGGAAATATGGTATGGACATTTTAATATTAGAACATAATCATGACAGTTAAAATGGTTAAGAAAACTAAACATGCTAATACAGAGAACCACATCATACAACTTGACACACGATTATAAATTATGACAACTAAAAGATGTCAATTTTTGCAAAACCCTGAACACTGAAACTATTTGCATAAGTCACTTAATCATGTTAATGTGCGGCAAACATAATCTTTATGTGAACATGTGAGTTTTTTTCCAAAGCGAACAAAATGTCTGTTTACCTGACGCGCCCTCACCTTAGTCCCTTTCTTCTTGGTGGCCTTTTTAACATGTACATGCACAGGGGTGTCGTCCTCTACATGAACGTGGACTGGAGATGTTGGACGAAGACCTTTCTCCACACCCATTCTACCTGAGAGATATCAGAAAGAAAATCAAATGATTAGGTTTACAAGTCATAGACAGTTTATTTATTGATGTGGACAGGACAGTTTGTGGCCTCATACATTATTCATCATGTTCACATCTTCCCGAGGCAAGTGAGTTAACCGACTATAAACATGATAAAAAGTCAGTTTCTACCCTTTCCGAAAAAGGCTGGAATTTCTGGGCTCGGCTGTAGTGCCCCCTCTGGCTATTACGAATTATGTCCCTTCTATGTCTCTCTTTGGACCAATCAGATTCCACCTCTCGTATCTATCACTTGCATTTGCTTCAAACAAAATGGTGACGTCCAATCAGGACAATCTGATCAATAATCTAGATCTATATTGTGATAAAACAAGTCTTAGATCCCGAAGTGCATTAAATCCCGTGAGCACCTTGATTAAAACATGAAAAGATTAAGAAAATATCTGTTTGACAACGAATTGGCGATGCACATGCTTTGCAAATTCTACAATTGACCGAAATCTGCATGACAGTTTACGAACGAACGATTTCGTCGTGCGATTTTGATTGGACTATGCATAGACTCATTTGTCCAGCCAAAATGTAACTCCATAATACCAGCCTAGTTCGGCAAGTGTGGAAACTGGACTTTTAAAGTCAGTTTACTCACTTGCCTGGGGAAGATGTCATGTTCATGGCATAGATACAGTCAACATTATTCTCACCATGAAGTAGAAGGCAATGCCTGCGTAGCCCAACCTTCCTTTAAAAAAATGGAACCTAGGCCTACTTAAAACACATCCCTACTTTTACATTTTGACAAAACATTAGTTAGATCTTTTTGTAGCCAGTATTTATACCGTTGGAGTTGCCCTAACATGATGCATGTGGAATATGTTCTCTGTCACTGTTGACATGCGCCAAGCTCCAACACTAGAGTCAAGGGCTGATCTTCACAATGCATGGTACACAGCTCTCTACAATTTCATGGGGTCCTAAACATGGTGATTGGGATTATTTGGATATTTAGAGCCCCAAACAAGGATATATATCTTTACCTGATTTTTTTTTCATTTTCATCACCCAGGTTTTAAGAGGAGGGGGAGGGTAAGCAAAATATAAAAAAAACTACCACTAATACATAATAATGGGCGTCCTGGTATGCAGTTGATGTTCACATTTACAGCATGTATAGTTTACAATACGATAAATTAGCCATGTGTGCCTTGTACATTTGAGTCTACTTTACCCAAATTTGTCCTTTTGTGTCATTTTAGTAGATTTTCGTCTTTACATACATCAGTTATAACTTTTAGCTCCCCATTCCGGTTCTGTCTGGACATTGTTATCATGACATTTATTACCAGTGGTATAAAACTGAAAGTATTTTTATAAGCACATGATTAGATCTAGCTGATAAAAGTGAGTCAGAAGACAAACAGCATTATTGTTTAAAAGATCTAAATCAAACTTGCTCATGTTGCTAGATGCACTTTTGTTTTGAGTCTATTCCCATTTCAAGATCAGAATCAATAACATCTTAATGGTTGTATTGGTGATTTTACATTCAGAGCTTGATTACACTATCAAAATACACAAATAGCATTGTAATAATGTGATAATTGTTTTCGAAATATAATATAGTGACTAACAATGAATATGTAATGTGATTTAATGGCATCCATCCTGTGTTTCACTGTTAATGTGCGCCAAATTAGGCATACAATGTCTATTTAAATTACACCTATAGGCGGCTCCCTATCGGCTGATTGCAATACTCAGTATAGGCTAACAAGATTTATGCAATTTAACTTACTCATTGTAACTCATGCAGCTTTGAGTTAAGAAATGAAGCAGCAGCCTTGTATGACAAAGATATATAAAACACCATCGCCACGGGACCCATTGGGTGAACACTAATTCCTTATTAATATTAATCTATTCTTGCTGTTTACAGCTGGGTTATAAAATATTCAAGAGTTTGTTTGATAACTGGTTCATGCTTACACACGTAACTGTAAATTCATTATCTAGAATCTAAAGTTTCGGTTATGTACATTTTGTAAAGAATGCGATATTCCTTCAACAATATCGTTATTGCATGAATTTGAAATCGGCGCTAATTTCCATACTTGTTCACACAAGTTTCAATATTGATTTCAAACAACTTGAAATATGCAACATGCATATCGAGGTTATGCAAAAATAGAAGTTGCGTATTTTAATATCACCATTTGCTTGACAGGAATCTACTAAAATAGATCAACCGTTCATCTATCCAGTGTTACTAAGGAGAGGAATTTCAGAAATTCATGCAAAAACACGTTGACATTTCGACAACACGACTGACACATTTCGCTGACATTTCCAAGTTGTATTTTCAAATACACTGTAATTACATCATAATAAATAATTGCAAATATATCAACGAACCTTTTGGCATCAGTTACCACCTATCCATCCACTCAGATCAATAATGCAGGCCAAAATACAGGGAAAATGATGATGGATAGACAAAATCTTTGTTGTTGTTTCCATCGGATGCAAATCCCTGCAATTTCATTGGTTGAAATCAAATGTCAATTTCAGCCGAGTAACAAGAAGAGTTCAATAAGGGAAACTACTCTGACTTGTGCCACCCACGAAAATCGTTCTTGGTGAAGAGGATATAATATTCTTTTCACGTTCTATGGCTGGAGCATAAAAAACATATATGGTCAAATGATCGAAGGAGCTTATTCGTTATGGGGTTGGAGGGTAAGAAACCATTAATGGAATTTTCCCTGTTTTCACATTGAATAACGAGAGTATCCTTTATAACATTCGGACGAGATTTTACGCCGCATCTCACATTGTTCGGGGTGGGTGATATTTAAGCGTAGCACCAACGTGCTTGCTGCTTATGTTTTCAGTAACTTGCTTCCCTACCTATTTCGATTATTATAGATCCACGTGATATAAATAGAATATTGCTGATTATGACCTTAAATAACATGCTCTCGCTCATATGTTCCCTAAGCCCCCTTCCCTATTTAAAGCTTCGCACAGCAATATTTCGTTCCGATCTGAGGGTAACAATGGTTACGAAGCTTTTAAAACACAGGCTGGCTTTTTATAATAAATGCTTAAGTTACATTTTTGGTGTTGAGAAGGTAACTGAATCTGTTTCAGAAGTTTTCTATTGTGTATAATGCCCGATATCTTAGCATTGGAAGTAACGACTGTTGTTCGAAATTAAATATAATTTTTTTCTTGTGAACATGCAGGTCAAAATGACCGCGTGAAAAAATAAAAGTCAATAACCAAAATGTCACAATGGCCACATGAAAAAGTACAAATATATATAACAAATGTTATATTTGGGATAACACTTTCTGAGTAAAGTACAGATTCTCGTACTTTTTGGGGGTTGAGTCGAGAACCTGTACTTTACTCAGAAAGTGTTATCCCAAATATTACATTTGTTACATTTGATCACTTTCTAAATGGCATTGTGTTTTCATACAAATATATAGTACGAATAGTGTTAGTTTCCATTTATTTGCTCTATTTATTTCATTGATCCAAAGTAACCATCATTGAAACCTGCATGTGTTGTCTTACTGATCAAGTTGTTAATACACTTTTGTAATGCATACGCTGGAAGTAAGAAAACGTAAACTTTATGTATAACAACTTCTGGTTTATTGCATATAGCGAGACCCGTGAAGATCCGGGGTAGAATAGGTCTTCAGCAACCCATGCTTGCTGTAAAAGGCGACTATGCTTGTCGTAAGAGGCGACTAACGGGATCGGGTGGTCAGGTTCACTGACTTGGTTGACGCATGTCATCGTATCCCAATCACAGAATTGTCTGGTCCAGACTCGATCATTTATAGACCGCCGTCATGTAGCTGGAATATTGCTGAATGCGGCGTTAAGCAACAAACAAACAAACAAAGGCATATAGCGACGTTTCGATGTAGATTCTCACACCGTTCTCAAGCTGGAGTCATAACAACCAAGTGATGAGACGTGTATGATATGTTGTGATGAACAGAAGATTAACATTGACAACAACAGGTAATTGTTATCCATAAAGTTGTACGTTTTCTTGCTTACTCATCAACTTCTAGAATGCCAATCAAACAGTTAATACGCTGATACTGTGTTAATTGATTGATCACACTGACTGGATTGATGAATATAAACAAGGGGTGAAGCATATTACTTCCCATTCACCATGTTTGCTAATGTAGCAAAACTTTCCGTAAGAATGCGCATGTTCTTGTGTGACTCCATTAATATAAAACGTCAACGCCAGAGAATAAAAAGTCTCGATTATCTGCCGAAACAGATTCTGTTGGGCGAAAAGGGCAGAATAGGGGTAAGCAATGGATTCATCGCACATGCGGCACTGGATACCTTATTCTTGTATATACGATAGCTACGCGATAAATCGCAAAGAACAATGACGGACGAAGCTCGGTTTATTTCACGATAAAACATTGTTCTATCAAATGTATAGCTTACAGTGCACTTTGCATAAGATACATACCATCTTTCTATGTTAAGCCCATGCGCAGCTATTCTAGAACGCAGGATTGGCGCATTTCCAAGCAATAAATGCCAAGTTCTGCCCGAAACTCTCATGTTCAATCGGTAATGGTATTCCATTTAAGTGTTGCTCTGAACTCTGAAAATATTGTTGAATAAATAATCTTGATTTTCATTCCTTATAAGTGATATTTTCCAACAGTCAGTGTGTGTATCTAATTATTATTTGAAAAGTAAAGTTCCGCGTAGTGTGTGTTGTATTCTACATCCAGGAATGGGGTTGTTGGGGTGGCCACCTCCACCCCTTTTTAACACGTACAACCCCACCCACCCCCTCTCGCACACACAGAGAAAAATGACAAGAAATGTTACCTACCATTATAACATGTTGATTTGGGCGTGAAAGTACCCCATCTCCCCTCTCACTGAAATTACACCCCACCCTTTTTTAAAATAAAATCCTGAATTCACCCCTGAACATTCATTTAATTTTATTTTGTTGACACAGGGATTAAATTGGAATGGAATATTTCTAAATTACTAAATACGAATGGGTTAAACCCGTAACGTAAGCCCAGCGCTTTTCAGCAGTTGTATGTAACTGGATCACATCCATGTATGCATGTGTAGCATTCCATGTAACGACAAGCACTGGAAATATAATTACGAAAGAGTTACTCCCCTTCATTCACAACTATGCAACCACGCACATGCGCATTTCAAATCCGCCATTTCCCCTGGCAGGTGCGTAAAATATGGATTGTGTGAAATCAGTTTGATGAGGAATGTTTAATATGCGAAATTGCATGTTCACAATTTGAAACATGTGTTAAACATGGATCACTTTATATATTAAACGCTATCAGTTGTAGAGACAGTTCCAGCATTTGTAATTAAACACGATTTGTCCACCACCGGTACTGTCGATTTCCCACCCACGTGCGAATATTTAGCAATGCATATGATAATGTGTGTTTCATTGGCCATAAGTATGTGAAAGAAACATTCTTTGCGTTATCACTTGAGCAGTGTCGTTGTAGTATTGTGTGTAACGAACTGAGTTTAGACTTTTATTTGTTGTTCCAAACTTAAATCGCCGATACAAGACTGAGATTAACCAATGCTACGATTTTCTGATCTGGGCTACTTGTCCAATATTTTTATCAGCAAGAAAAAAACAACTCCTCCTCATTATAGTATCATATGTTCTCTGAAGAGAATCGGCTATGACCAAAGATGTACATGTGGCACTGTCTGTGGTGAGAGGTCATCAGATTTTTTTTCTATCACTGCTCAAGATAAAACATAGGGAAAAATATAGACGTGTGTATACTATGATCATGGTCAAGTAGTAGCCTATTTTAAGTCGGAATACAACTGAATGTTAATGAAACTATTTTAGAATAATTTGAAATGTGTGATGTTTTAATTCTAATTTCCAAAATGTATACACGATAATAGTATTAATACATTGTTTTTACATAATTAGTTTCTTTTTTCTATGATTAAGTGCTGCACGTGGAATTACCATGGTTGTGTGGACATTGTATTAAGTGGCAAGTATGAAACTAAGACATTGTCTCGTATGTTAAGGGTTATCAATAAATACAAGATTGAGATACATTATGAATAAATTAGAGACAGCAAATACAAGAAACAAGGGTTCAGTGACATCAAACTTGAGGGGAACACCGACAGACGAAAAGACCACCAGAAAAGTGTCTTTGGAAGATTATATTTCCTAAAACAAGCGTCATAATAGTGACATCAATGGGAGAAATTAGTTTGTACTTCAGATATTTTAAATAGCTCTAGGTAACGACATATATTCAATTTGTCACCTTGAAAAACTCTAAATACCGTATTTGACGTAATAAGCGCCCACAGCGATATTTGCTGATATATTGGCTAGTGAACAATCCAAATTAGCACCCCTTCCGATTGATCAATATACACAAAACTTAATTATACATGTATGAAACTATTATATGCATCCTTAATCATGGGAAATAAAATTCTGGAAAAATATATGTCGTATATAAACATTTCCGGCTGTCAGCATAAACCACGAAATTTACTATCTTTCAACTCTGTTGTTTTTCACCAAAATAATATTCTAATAAGAACCCCCTATTCTAATTTTGAGAGCGCTCTGGGTGCTTATTATGTCGAATATGGTAGTTGGATATCGCCAATGATGAAAACAAACCAGTTTACCATCTTCCACAAACAGGACCTTGCACTATGAATGTTGTAACTTTCAGTCTGATACTGTAAGATACTCATGCGATAGTCATAGGTTATAATAGCTTTGTGGACAGCGGCATTATTTCTGAACACAGGCAACATGCCTGAAGTTGTAGTATTATTCGCTGTCAGGTTTTCTGCGTGTTAGCGTGCCACAAAAAGTATAACAAATAAAGTACCCTGCATAAATGGAAGATTTAAAGATCAAATGTGTGTTGGTGAATAATTTGCTTTGAGAGTCATTTGGAGGCACGCTCACATTTGTATGGACTTTTCACTTTAGACTATTCATAACGTGGAGTAGGTATTTACAGATTGTAACATTGGTAACAGGTGCAGCTCCATGCATTTGAATAAAATTGTATTGCTTTCCATTTCTATATGCCAGCAGTATACACATGTCTATAACCTAGTTGTGTAATATCTCCACTCCGGTTATTCAAAACTGATGCGGAGGTGGGATAGCTTGGTGGTTAAAGCACTCATTCAACACGCTGAAGCCCCGGGTTCGATTCCCCACATGGGTACAATGTGTGAAGCCCATTTCTAGTGTCCCTGCCGTGATATTGCTGGAATATTGCTAAAAGCAGCATAAAACCACACTCACTCATAACTGATGGAAAATGTACACTTTTCGTTTTCATAATTGACAATTGTTTTGAACATCACTGGATTGTCTGGTCCAGACTCAATTATTTACAGACCGTCGTCACATAGGTAGCTGGAATATTGCTGAGTGCGGCGTGAAACAACAAACCAACCAACCAACATGTTATGTGAAACTTTCATCAGTGACTTATGTGTGATCTTGCTTCACTATACTTCAGTACTGCGTGTGAAATTTTTTGTGTAGTGTTTTGTTTTCTCATACTTTTTTTTCTCCATCAGATAGTTTTTTCCTCAATCCCTTGGGGATCGTACAACTCGGTTTCTCAGGTTCAGTCATAAATCAGCTTTTTTTTGCCGTCCAAATAGGAGGATAAGGTAATTTGTGAACCTTTTTCTTTTTTCTTTATTTTTTTCTTTTCTTGATACATGTTACGTTATTATTCCTCAACGGATTAAAAATCCGTTGAGATATTTGTAGATAAGGTGAGTTAACATTGCCTGATCATGTTGAATAGGATGACAGTATTTAGATTTTTGTTTGAAAAAGACACCAAGTCACACAAGATATCAAAAGGGAAGAATGTATGGGGGAAGTGGGGGAGCCTTGTGGTTAAAGTGTTCGCTCGTCATGACGACGATCCTATATCGATTCCCCACATGGGTACAATGTTTGAACCCCATTTCACGCTAACAACATTTGAAAGTTTGCCATGGTGATTATTTGTCAAGGTGTGATTTGTACTTTGCACTGTGTGGTGCTGGCAAGCTAAAGCAAAAATAATCTTCCTTTCATCATTCCTTTTTACTGTTGAGGTAGTCTAGTGGTTAAAGTGTTCACTCGTCATGCCGAAGGTCCAAGTTCTATTCCCCATATGGGAACAAAGAGTGAAGCCCATTTCTGGTGTCCCCTGCAGTGATAAAGCTGGAATATTGCTAAAAGTTAAACAATGTTCATTCACTCAGAATGTATGATAGTACAGTAAAGTACGGTTATAACGAACTCAAAGGGACTACTAATTTTAGTTGTTATAACCGTAGTTTGTTATAAGCATATATACAGCATGACTACAGCAAATAGTCGGGACCAAAAAAGTAAGTTCGTTATATCCGTCAGTTCGTTATACATGTTATAAGCGTGTTCGTTGTAACCGTAGTTTACTGTACCTTGATTTCCTTGATAAAACATGGGGGTACAGGTATCTGAAAACAATAGATGCTGGGTCTCGATTACATGCAGGGTATTTTTTGTACATGGAAGTATCCCGATTATTTTCTTTGCGCAACGATGGCTTCAAATGAATAAAATTTGTGTTTTGACTACTGTATGGGACCTGTGAAGATTCCGGGTTAGAATAGGTCTTCAGCAACTCATGGTTGCCGTAAAAGGCGACTATGCTTGTGGTAAGAGGCGACTAATGGGATCGGGTGGTCAGGCTCGCTGACTTGGTTGACGCATGTCATCGTATCCCAATTGCGTGGATCAGTGTTCTTGATGTCAATCACTGGATTTTCTGGTCTAGACTTGATTTCTTTTACAGACTGCCGTCTTATAGCTGGGATATTGCTGAGTGCGGCGTTAAACAACAAACCAAACACCACCACCCACCCCAAAAAGAAAGAAAAGACTACTGTATGCATACAACACATTGTCCACACTACACTAGAGAAGTTTTAACCTTCTGTACTGAAGATGGTAGGGCCGGGACGGGTAACTCAGTACTCGGGTCAGGGGGTGGTCCTGAGTACCCCTTGTACCTGGGTACCCACAGGACTACCCGGACCCGTGGTTAGTCATGTGGTATATTGTGTAATGACAAAACCTCACTATGTCTCCGTGGTTACACTAGATGTGGCTAATGTTCGCATTTCTTTCTGAGGATACACACATTCCTTTTGACTTGCATATGTTGGAGTAAAGATAACACTTTAGTCAACTTCCGTGTACGCATGATCTGGTCGTTTGATACATGTATCTAAATAGTTTTGTCCAGGGCTGGGGTAAAACAATTCCCAATCAGACATTTTGTTCCTAACTCTTGAGACCTGCAGTGGGTACCCGGTTAGGGTCGGGTAATAGGGGGTCGGGTAATAGGGGGTCGGATACCCGGGTATCAAATTTAGACTCATCCCAGTCCTAGAAGATGGGTCTGAAAACAATAGATACCATATTTGATGTTGATTAGATTCCTGAAATACTGTTGCTATGGTTTCAATGCATCCCTAATAGACACATCTACAGGCAGCTGGGCAGGAATAGTTTCGCTTATTATCATAGGAATCTGTTGCTAAATCCAGAATTTCAATTCAGCTACTCACTTATGTTAACTTTGCCCAGATGAAGATATGCATGATTTTGAAAAACACAATACACCAATGTTTTCCAAACATATTGTGACATATTTCAAATCGTGGTATACTGGTAATACCATGCACCTATTATTCAGGATGTTAAATTGCACAAACCACCATCTGAAATGAGCTTTTGACAAAGTGGTATACCCATGTTTAGTGAGTATCAAGTTGTTGATGTAAAATCCCTTAAATCAATTCTGAAAGTAAAATCTTTCTTTCGGCCTAATTTCTATAAAAAATGAATAATACATTCATGATGAAGCTGAATCATGTAATAGAAGGCATTGTGTGTCGTATTACATACTGGAAACCTGAATATTGTGTGTCATATTACATACTGGAAACCTGAATATTTATTGTGTGTCATATTACATACTGGAAACCTGAATATTGTGTGTCATATTACATACTGGAAACCTGAATATTGTGTGTCGTATTACATACTGGAAACCTGAATATTGTGGGTCATATTACATACTGGAAACCTGAATATTGTGTGTTGTATTACATACTGGAAACCTGAATATTGGACCAGTTGAGCTCAGTCCCTTGTAGTTTTCTTCACACACAATTTCTTTTGAAGTCACCATTTTCTTAGAGATTACACAAACAGCACATACTAATAGCGAGATGAGTTTGGAATTTTCTTGGGCTTGGGCATGGTTCTGCAAGATGTATACTGGGGATTGGTATTAGAGGTTTAAAGTGTATCACAGTATTTTGCAATGCACAAGGCGGCCGTATTGCGATACGTATCACAATATTGTGTATAATTCTAAATTTTTAATTCTTCGATTCCTGACATGGGTACGATGTGTGAAGCCCATTTCTGGTGTCCCCCGCTGTGATATTGCTGTGATATTGCCAAAAGCGGCGTAAAACCATACTCACTCACTCACTAAATTTGATTCAGTAGCAATCTAATACATTGAGGTATGAACTGAAGTTCATAAATGGAACAAAACAAAACAAGCAGCCATCTTGGGGCCCCGGATCCTCGCTCCTGGGGATCGAAGGCATTTGGGAAGTATATAACAATAAACACATGATACAAATCCCCATTAGAAATCACCCATATGTCAAGGATGAAAAATGATATTGTGATACGTATCATGGAAAGAATGAATCTGAATTCGGATATACCATAATACCTAAAACCCTTAATGTATACACAATGGTTTTTGGGTAAATTGGTGATAAAGTACCTTTAAAGTTTGGGTAAGGATTTGTTATCATCTATTCGTTTTGTGGAAGATCTTTGACATTTAACAATAGATGCTACTCGAAAGAAGTATGAACACCAGGTTCTTTCATTAATTACTGTAGTAAATCCTGAATTGTTTGATAGGCGTTTCTAAGAAGTTGACGGATGAGAAAGTAAATGGTACAATAAAGAAGTTGTTATCCACAAGTGTTTTATTTATGGAGAACTTCTTTGTTATGCTGTACAAATAAGAAGTTATCCATAAAAAAATCCACTACAGTTAATCTGTACAGTGGTAGTTTTAGTTCACTAGTCCTTATGATGATAACATATAGAAAAACCCTTAATAATGGCAAATTTCTACTAGTCCTTAGGATACCTTTACTATTGGGCAGTTTGGCAAGGACTACAGGACTGGTGCCAATTTCTAACACTGCTGTAATACAAAAGAATCTGGTGTTCCTTTGGGTAGTGTGTTTAAATGTTTATTAGCTAAATTGAGTGTTTCAAGCTTTCACTGTTTAGATTTTCAGAAACGTGTTTTGAGCATGTTCAGTAAATGTTAAAGTTGTGTTCTATTTGTTAAACTCTTAATGACATGCACTGTTGCTTTGGTTAATATCTAATATTAGATTGTGTTGTGTTTACTACCTTTGACCCTTCTAAAATATTAGAATACATTTGGAAATATTCCATAATCCTTTCTTTTTATACTCTAGTTGTATTTTAATTTTCACATTCAAAATGTGTTCTGAAAGTACTTTCATTAAGTTACCAGAGATTTATTTTGGAGTTCTGGTGATCAATATTTCTGTATGTAAACTTAAACACTGCTTTCATAATTGGTATTAATTAAATGATGTGTGTCCAAATAAAATGGAATTTAAACAGAAGTCCAATTTTGGACAAGATAATGATTTTGCCCCATTTTGGCATGCCACAAACATTTATTTTAACAATCTTCAACAAATTCTCTCTGGCCTTATTAGGTGTTTTGAAAAAGGGAGGTGAAATTTATCACGTTTATACGACATTGAAATTATCCTGATACTGAACTTTAATATATTATCTCTCTTCTTGGATGCAGTGTTTAAGGTCCTATGAAGGGGCGGTCGGGTAGCCTAGTGGTTAAAGCGTTAACTCGTCATGCCAAAGACCCGGGTTCGATTCCCGACATGGGTACAATGTGTGAAGCCCATTTCTGGTGTCCCCCGCTGTGATATTGCTGGAATATTGCTAATAGTGGCGTAAAACCATACTCACTTAAAGTCCTATAAAATGTAGCCAGTCTTGATGTAGCATCTTTCTTTCAAACTAATGGGAATAGCTGAATATTTACACCATGTATCCTATTGAAAGGTTATTTGAGACTTTTTCAGCCAACACTGCCAGACAGCCTTTGTTTCAGTGTTGTAGTGAAAGAATGGAAATTCCTGATTTTCTTTTGATGCACTTTTGTGAACACTGTTGCCAGAAGGGCTCACAATGTTCCAGGGTTTGTTCACAACTGTATTTGTGACTTCATTTATTAATGTGCTAATTGCAATGTTACACCGATCTTATCGTAAATTTAAGTTGTGTATTCTACAGGTTGATTCACCAGGGAACAGGTCAGACATATTAATAATCATCTTGAATATTCTACTGAAAACATTTGTTTTCTGTTTACCAGGTATCGCTACATTGATTTTTTTTCCTTTTTTTTTTTCATTTTTCCTCTTCACCATGGCCCCTGGAAGACGTCAGGTTGTCTGTCTGAAGGTTGTCGCAGCTAACTATCACAATGGCAGACAACTCCAACACAAACCTTATCATAAACTACCTGCCGCAGACCCTGTCAGATGAAGAGTTCCGGTCCATGTTCCTCAGTATCGGTCCAATCAAGTCCTGCAAGATCGTCCGCGACAAGTCATCTGGCTACAGCTATGGCTTTGGTTTCATCGACTACGAAGATGAAGACGATGCACAACGCGCCATTAAAACATTGAATGGGCTGCAGATGCAGAACAAAAAGATCAAAGTTGCTTTGGCTCGACATGGAGGCGACGCCATCAAGGGTGCGAACCTCTACGTACGGAACCTCCCCAGGGAATGGAGAGAGGAGGAGGTGCATTCTTACTTCGAGCCTTACGGCAAGATCATCCAGACACGAGTTTTGGTTGATCCCAATACGGGTGTGTCCAAAAGGGTAGGCTTTGTTCTGTATGACACAAGATCAGAGGCAGACGCAGCATGTAGTGCTCTTGGGGGTAAGAACCCACCAGGTTCAAATGAGGCCTTACTTGTTAAATTTGCTGATGATAATGCAAAGAAGCTCCGCCCACCCCCCGGGTACCAGCAGCATCAATCCCACCATCATTCTGCCGGCTACAGCAATCGCTTTCCCTCCCCTGGACCCATGCGCAACCAACGGAACCGTTTCCACTTCAACCCCATGGGCCAAGGTCATCCAGGTCAAGGTCCTTACAGCCAGGCTGGGGGTCACATCCTGTTCGTTTACAACATTGGGACTGATGCTGATGAAAAGCTTCTGTGGCAGTTGTTTGCCCCATGTGGAACTGTGCAGAAAGTGAACGTTATTATGGACACAGGGAAGGGTTGTTGTAAAGGTTATGGGTTTGTCACCATGACAAACTACGAGGAAGCTGAGTATGCCATAGAGTGCTACAACGGTTACTGGCTCAAAGGTCGTCAGCTGCAGGTGTCCTTCAAGAACTAAGTGACCGGTCTCCTGATGGTCAAATAGCTTTACGAACCATGCATAAAGACTTGCTGTTACTTCACTGTTATTCTTATGTTTTGGACAATCAATCATGCCAAATGTTAACATTGAGGATGAATTTACTTGTGAACTAAATCATATTCAATGTGTAATACTGTATTCAACGTATGAAGTGCCAATAGTCATGACAAATAGGGTGGACACTCAGAAAAGAGGACTTAATCCTTTGTTTAAGCTATGAAAGGATCTGAGTATTTCATTGCAGTACGATAAATAATAGGACATTTCTGCCTGTTTATCTTAACATGTTAAAGGGACTATTTTGTTCAAAAGCGGTGTTGGGTAGCCCAGTGGTTATAGTGTTCGCTTAACATGTTATTCACAGGTTTGATAAGGATTGATCATTGCAGAGATCACTAGGGGGAGCTCTAGTAACAATCTTGACTGACTACTTGTTTTATCATTGTTGGCATTGCTCATTATATTGATGGAACAAACATTTAATCTCCATTCTCACTTTCTGTTGAGAAAAGCTGGTGGCAATTTATACATTGAATACGGTATAGCGCAGTATGTGAGTTGAGAGAAACTGTTTCGTTTTTTTCATGTTTATTGCCTTTATTGGAAAATGGTTCCAAGTATTTTTTTCTGTTTCACTGTTTCATTGTGTATATGTGGGCATTATCTGTTTCTTTTAAGGGAGATCTTATTTTCCTAATGAGATTAATCAACACTTATTAGTTCAAGATGATCAATTAACCTTTTATTAGATTTCATTTGAGAGTAACTACTTATGTTATTCTTGCTGGACAATAATTCAATTTATTTTCTCCCTTTGTGTTTACCCTATATAGTTGTGTGTGATTATGGGCGGTGTATTGATTCTGTGATTACATTTCTTGTCCCTCTCTTGGTGTTATGGCTTGACTGCTGCATTTAAAAGAAATTCGTCGCCATCTGTGGTAAAAACGTGTTGTGGTTTTGACTTATTTGGGGTAAGCTTTGAAAAATGGGAAGTATGATTGCAGAGCTCCAGATATGCTGCGTATCTGCGTGAAATACGCATCAGAAATGCAGAAATACACAGTAAAATATAATCCAAGCGTATCAAGTACACAACGAACATTACAGATACCCTACAAAAATAAAACTTGTGCGTATCATCAAAATATTGTGAAGTAACCCTCCGTATTCGATTACCAAATCAGCAACTTATTTTGAAATTATAATAGGGCATTCCGTCAACCTTGCCAAACTCCACGATGACAGTTACATCATGATCATTTGGCATCACACTTTCTTGTGGAAGTATCGTGGTATTTTTGAGTCCTATAAAGCTCTCCAACCCACACGACACCAGTTTGCAGGGACTAGATGAATAGTGTTTTTAAATATTTAACTTAAAAACCCACATGTGTAAAAACTAGTGGGTAAAAGAAATTTGAATACGCAGATAGAATTACTGATACCCAATGATTTTAAAATGCATGGGTAAAATACCTACAACACCAAAAGCTTATCTGGAGCTCTGGATTGGGTTACAATAGGTCCCCCACCAACAAGTGTAAGAAGCAACTTAATGGATAACTGCCATGCTTGATGAATGTTTTCTTCATAGCCCTAATTGTTATACCTCTTTCACGAAAATACCTTTTTCCCTAAGCACAACCTATTTTATATCTATTAGCGTATGCATGGCATGTGTGTGGTGAAACGTGGAGCCTGACACAACATTCCACTCTTTACAGGACTTCTAGGGGTGGAGAATCTGTATGTCAAACACTGTTTTAGTTTTCATAGTTCTGCCTTGCAGTAAACATCTAAAAAAAAGTCAGTTTTGTGTGCTTAACTGCAGTTAGTTTGACAGTTTGTCGTGAAGTTTTAAAGCTGTTCAATAATTTTTTTAATACCGATTCAGGAACCTTATAAATTTTCTGACTTTGTTTGGATTGACATTAATACAGAAATGTCATCAGACAGTGTTTACTGACAAACTGAAACAATATCACAGGTGCTTTAAAAACTTTGCTGGACAAGTATGTTTTAACATAATTATGACATTTTCTAGTGACAAAATCTGTTGTCAGCTTAATCAGAATTTGATGTGCAGAGTTGCCTCCCTTTGTTGTGCAAGAATGTACTTGCTGGGTTCTATTTCTCAGATTCTATCTGATTATATTCTTAGGGCTGTCGGTGTCATACCTGAACGTTTTGGCTTCGTTTCTGGTTTAAAGTGTCTGAAATACTGCTCTTTCATTTTGTGAATGGTAAAGGGGAAATTGGAAAACATCCCCTGGCCAGTCAAACCACTTTTTCAGTTTACAGTAGGTTGATAATTACATAGGTTGACTTACAAATACTTCTCCACCCCATCCATTTGACATTAACATGCTATAACTGAAATACACCACCCACTCCCTCCATTGGGCATTAGTACCGTGATATATATTACATACTGTTCATAGAGGCTTCGGGGTCAGGCGCCCTGTCATGAAAGGAAATTTGCTGCGCAGATTTGCGTCCTTTGGGGTGCCAGAAACCTATGGTTGTGGGTTCGAATCCCGATTCACCCCAATTATTGTTCCAGGTTTGTCATCATTCCCGTCCTTGTCCCGTCTGAGACCTCCATCAGTTCGGGCTTTCCTCCCATATTAATCTGTCACGCTGTAATGTAACTGCAATACTGTTCAAAGCCGTGTTAAACCCAGCTCACTCACTCACTCACTCATAGAGGCTTAAAGCACCACCCACTGTTGTACATTGAGTCACAGTATAAGCAATACATGTCTAGTTAACTTGTTAACTTGTCATGCCTATGATAAGAAAAAGATTCTGAATGTGATACAAGACCTGGGATGCCTTTCGTCTATGGCACAGTAATGTCATGTTTGTTTCTCCTTAAACTGAACTGCCGTCATAATGATAATAGTCGTCCAGGATGATGTCAGTCATGGAGGTGTGAATTGGATGATGCATTAGATGAAGAAGCGCTTGGAGGGTGATACAGATTAAAATGAAAAAAATCACAAATGTATATCAAGTTTACCCTCTGCTGACTTTCCAATAAAGTATTAATGCAGACTAAAGTTTCTTCTTTTTTTTCACTGAACAGGTGCTGTGTTAGACTTGGCTAAGTCTGTGTTGAAGTTGTTTTAACCATACGACAATGATACCAGACTTACACATTACGCTTGGAAGGGTGTATGGTCCGATTCCTGAGGTTTGCGGGGAGATTTTGTGGTTGGTTGGTTTGTTGTTTAACGCCGCACTCAGCAATATTCCAGCTATATGACGGCGGTCTGTAAGTAATCGAGTCTGGACCAGACAATCCAGTGATTAATATCATGAGCATCGATCCACGCAATTGGGATCGATGACATGCATCAACCAAGTCAGCGAGCCTGACCAACCGATCCCATTAGTCGCCTTTTACGACAAGCATAGTCACCTTTTACGGCAAGCATGGGTTGCTGAAGACCTATTCTACCCCGGAATCTTCACGGATCTGGGAGATTTTGTGAAAAGGCTAGATAGGGACACATTGTGTTAAAAGATGGATCACGTGACATGCCAAACCGAATTGAGTTAACTGTTTAGTTTGCTGGGGTAGAAAAGCTCTTCGGCAACCCATGATTGCCGTTAAAGGCGACTAACGGGATCTGATGGTCAGGCTCGCTGACTTGGTTGAAGCATGTCATCGATCCCAATTGCGTGGATCGATGCCCATGTCAAATCACTGGATTGTCTGGTCCAGACTCGATTATTTACAGACCGCCGTCATATAGCGGGAATATTGCTGAGTGCGGCGTAAAACAACAAACCAACCTAACGGGATCGGATGGTCAGGCTCGCTGACTTGGTTGATGCATGTCATCGTATCCCAATTGCTTGGATCGATGCTCATGTCAAATCTCTGGATTGTCTGGCCCAGGCACGATTATGACCGCCGTATTATTGCGGCAATATTGCCGTGTGCAGCGTTAAACAACAAACAAATCTGGTGCCCTCTGCAGGAATATTGCTGTACATGTACTTGTTATATCTTGTTTGGTCCTGGCAGAGTCCATCCTTATTAGAATTAAAGGAAAAAATAGTAGAAATTCTGGTGACGCTAGAAATATTTTCTGGGTCCACTGATTCGCTTAACATAGATAACTGAATTGTTTATCCAGGCAGTTTAATTGTTGTATAAACAGTGTGGCAGGTGGCCTACTTGCTGGCTACAAGCTTCTATTTGGCCGACACCACACTACTAAGCTGATGTGTATTGCATCTGTTTATTAATATGTTTCGCCCCGATTATGTTTCTAAGCTTGTCAACACTACACCCGTGCTCGTGGGTTCCATCCTACATAAGCCGACACACAAAGATGTAACTTGAATACTGTTAGATGCGGCGTTAAACACAACTCACTCACTCACTCGTAGAGGTTTTAAAGCACAACCCACAACTCACTATTAATATGTCAATGGACCTGTGAAGATCCGGGTTAGAATAGGTCTTCAGCAACCCATGCTTGCCGTAAAAGGCGACTATGCTTGTCCTAAGAGGCGACTAACGGGATCGGGTGGTCAGACCTGAAATATAGAGACATGGGTTAAGTAGAAAGTTGTATGCCCGTTCGTTCGAGCAATTGTTAGGGTGGGGTAGCATAGTGGTTGAAGCGATCGCTTGTCAAGCCGAAGGCCCAGGTTCGACTCCCATTATTTTTTACACGGCGACGTAGAGTTACTCCCTCACTCACTATAGCGACTGTAAGATTCTACGCCAAGCGTTTCTTTTTAGATGGGTAGATCTAAGAGTGCAATCCAAGTGTGTTTCTGGTGTAATCAAAGACAGATCAGCGGGGATTCGAAAGTACAAAACCCGTGAATATCCGGGTTAGAATACGTCTTCAGCAACCCATGTTTGCCATAAAAGGCGACTAACGGGATCAGGTGGTCAGGCTCGCTGACCTGTTTGATGCATGTCATCGTATCCCAATATCGTGTATCGATGCTCATGATGTCAATCGCTGGATTGTCTGGTGCAGACTCGATTATTTACAGACCGCCATCATATAGCTGGAATATTATATTGAAACATATTAAATATTGAACATTGAAACTGTAATCATAGGGGGGCGGTCGGGTAGCCTAGTAGTTAAAGCGTTCGCTCGTCACGCCGAAGACCCGGGTTCGATTCCCGACATGGGTACAATGTGTGAAGCCCATTCCTGGTGTTCCCCGCCTTGATATTGCTGGAATATTGCTAAAAGCGGCGTAAAACTATACTCACTCACTCACTCACTCACTCTTTGTAATCATAGGTCTGTGGCGTGCCCAAGGGACGCAACTCTGCACAGCGAATTTCGACGCCTAAGTCGACTGTGTCACCTGTGCCCCCTCCATCATATTACATATTTCCATATATATGTTTGTCATAATAGAATGGAGATACGATACAATTGAATATCTACATTTGGCATGAATTAGCAATCTAAATATCATGACTTGGACCTTGGTGTAGCAATGGCAAACGCAGATACACTAATCTGCCAGCCAGCAAGCAACAAGGACGGAAATTCCGCAGCGCTCCCTGGGCCGCGGTTTCGTACCGGTGCTTGCCATTGTGTTTCTATTTGTTGTGATCCATCGAAACCAGGATTCAGTTTCCGTGAGAATGCATCTCTAGCAGGTTGTGATCATTCTTCCGTGTCGTGAACACCTTTGTTGTGTCAGAGATATTGTGTAATTTGTTTCACATCGAAACTGGTTCAGTGAAACTCCTCCCCGCCTTTTTTTTCCAAATTGGTTCATGAGTTTTCAAATAGGTTTTGCTTTCGGTCATATACTTTAAGTTTTCTTCTTGTCTGGCGCTCGGCATCAAGGGGCTAAAACAAGGACTGGTCGGCTCGGAGTCAGTATACTGTGTCTGAGTGGGGTATTCATGTTAAACTGCGACATGGTATCTCAGTGAGTAAGCACTATAAATCGACACCACATGCAACCAC